CTGGAGCAGGCTGTGGGACTGAAAGCTGGTGTTAAAATCTCATAAAGCTCTCAATCAGCTGTTCCCCAAAGCCCATCTTCATGTCTGCAGCATTCGGCTGCTCTACGCCTCTGTCCTTTCCATGTTGTGTAAGGGACCAGAGGCAGAAGCTGGATTCCAATGAGCTGTGGGCATTGGCCTTTCCCTAGAGTCGCTCTGTCCCCAGCACTGATAAATCTAGGATTCATGGGCCAATATGTGTAGTGTAAAGGGGAGCTGACACATTGGTGTGCTGATGTGATTTGTGGGCTGCTCCCTGGCAGAGAAGCCCAAGAGCGTCTACATTCCCTCAACCTGTCACTTCCTGCAGTGGCTGGCAGTCTTACGCTGGGATTTCCAGAAGGCCGAGGTGACAGCTGTGGGGACTGGATGGGCCGGAGCCAGGCAGCTGGGAGGACAGGGGTTTTAGAGGCTTCCTGGGAGAACTCGACCTCTGAGCCCTGCAGGAGTGCTTCACCTTTTGCCTGGGGCAAGTAAAATAGAGCTGCAATCTTGGGGACAGAGATTGTGACGAAGTGGGACTGTTCTTAATGTTTCCTCTGAATAGTGTGGGGGTGCCTCAGTTTCCCCTAGGCAGTTCTTAAGTATCTAGGGGGTGGAGTAAGGGTGTATGATCATTGCAGAGCCCTAGAGGGCATGTGTGTGCAGGAGTCTGGACACAGAGAATGGCCAACACCCTGTTTCCTGGCAACTGATGGCCTGGGCCCTTCCCCCCTGCAAGGTGAGAGCTGAAGGGTTGGAGAACAAAGGAATCAGGTGACCACCTGGCCCGGGAAAGGAACAAAGCCCAGAGGAGGAGGGGCTGGAGGGGGTTTTCAGTTTGGGGCTGGCTGGGACATGGAGTGAAGTGCAGACGTGGTTGTCTGGCTCACTGCCCCCCAAAATGGACCCAGCTGAGGGGTCCCGTTCTCTGCACCTGCAAGCTCTGTTTTAGACCATGTTCCTGTCGTCTAATAAACCTTCTGTTTTACTGGCTGGCTGAGAGTCACATCTGACTGCGGAGTTGGGGTGCAGGACCCTCTGGCTTCCCCAGGAGCCCCGCCTGAGCGGACTCACTGGGGGGAAGTGCACGGAGGGGCAGAGGATGCTGAATGCTCCGAGGTCAGACCCAGGAAGGTGGAAGCTGTGTGAGCTGTGTGAGCTGTGTGTCCTGAAGACAGGCTGCTCACAGAAAGGCGACTGCCCCAGAGTCCTGACTGGCTTCATGGGGAGCAATTCCAGAGCATCGCCCAGGGACTCCGTGACAGAGATCTAATCTGTTTTATAGTGGCTGCAGAGCAATGAATAATGCTCTCTCCTCAAAGCCAAAAACACTCCTCCTTACCTCCCACCCCCAGGAATCCTGCTGAGCCCACATGAATTAGCAGGTAAAACAAATTCTGTTCCTGCAGCCATTGGAAAAGAATTCTAGCAGCAAAGCTGCTCCTCTCCTGGGCCAATGGTAGCACCTGGGCACCACCTGCATCTGCCCTTTTAGATGGGGAAAGAATAAAGAACTCTAGGACCCCACCTGAGAGATTGTCCCCGACCTGGGCACCTCACCTGAGCAGAGGAATCTGCCATGCTGCCCCAGGCAGTCAGGAGTCTAACAAAACCCTTGCTCCAGGGAATGACTGGGCAGTGCTGCCTTGTCAGGCCTCACGCTCCTGAACAAGCTGATAGAGAAGCTAATAAATGAGCAGGGTCCAGTTCCTCCTGTTGGCCAAGTAGCTGGACCCTACTGCATCAGGCTCCAGCCCAGGGAATGAGACAGAGACAGCACCTGTTAGTCTGGTGGGCAGGTACAGGTGCCTCCATCCTCGTGACATTGGGCCTCTGCTGCAGTGGATGCCTTTGATCAGTAGACAGTCCGATCCCACCTCTAAGTCCCTGCACAGATCAACAGAAACACCCTGAACTGGCTCAGGTCGTCGCTCTCGCAGCAAACCCAGAGCGGTGTTATGGGCATCTGAGCAACAGACATGAGTGCTCTGAGCCGTCCCTTCCAGCTCCATCCTCTTCCTCATGTTGCCCTAAATCTGGGGAAGGCCTGTGGTGGTGCAGCCTGGATTGAAGTGTCTGCTCAGCCCCATCTCCCCGCTCACTCAGTGCCTGGCGGAGGTCAGCTAAGCTGCTGAACCCAGGGCAAGCCTGAGGGGATGCAGGTAGAAAGAGAGAAGTGCTTTGTTGAGCTTGCTTCCTCTGACATCTGCCCTCAGACTGCTGTGGGTTCCTGGACTCTGTTTAAAAAATCGCGCTCTGGTGCTGTCATGCATGCTAGCCATGGGAGCGCTGTAAGGACCTGGACAGACTCTGTCTTTGGCCGGTGATGTCAGGCTGGAGCTGGGGGAGCAGTTAAGAAATAAAGATGCTGTTTCCATGCAAATCGTGATCAAGACTAAAACTGGGCAGCCAATCCAGGAAGTCTGGCCTGGAACTGGAATGACTGAAGCCGGGAGTGTAGGTGCATGACTGGCTGGCAGGAGCTGCTGGTCTAAGGTGCAACAGAGGACTGCCACTGGTTGTGAAGCCCCAGGAAATGCCCTGGGCCAAGGTCATTATTGCTACTCTGGATGCTGATGCTGGAACCACACGGGCATCGATGACATTCTTGGTGGGTGGTGCAGGTCACGGCTTTGCACAGACCACCATGCAGCCCCTCCCGATGTGCTTAGTTACAGTATTGTGTCAAGTAGCCCTGCAAACCACCTCACAGGGTTTGTTCACTCTCTGGCCCCGCCCTGAAGCTGTCAGCGTCTCATTCCTTAGGGAGCCAGCCCCCTCACAGAGCAGTCTGTTGTGAGCACAGTTCCCCTTTGCGCCGATTCCTCCACCAGCTTCCAACCCACTTCCATCACCAGTACAAGGCCTCGGGCCTGATCTCCACAGTCATCAATAGGTCTGGTCCAGCTGTGTCGGTCACACTGTCTGCACCCAGCATTTGTCTGGGCAGCTGTCTCTGGATCTGTGGTTTACAGAGCCCAGGGCAGCTCATGATAGAGTGACTTCCCTCCAGGGTGTTAGAACTGCAGGGAGACAGGCCGAAGCGGGTGGCTCCAGAAGGCCTGCAACAGGATTCCTGTACACGTGGAAGTTTTCCAAGTGTGATGATCAGAAGCCAGGTTTGTGCTGGTGTCCGCTTTACATACTGTGCTGCTGAGAAGTGCCAGGCCGAGCTGTCCTTTATCACCAAAAGAGGGGTAGTAGGAGCAGAAGCTTCTCTTGTGTGCTTCTGCTCCCCGTGGGGTACAGGGTGCCCCTAGAAACCCTGGGGCGGCAGCATGGCCTAGTGGGTAGAACTGGGAGCTGCGAATCAGGGCTGCTGGCCTCCAGCCCCAGCTGTGCCGCTCTAGTCCATGGCAGACCCTCACTGTGACAGCACTTCCCTGCTTCACTGGGGATTGGCTCGGTACTTGGTGCTCTTCCATCCGCAGCCGCAGCCGGAGGCTGGGAATGCAAGGTATTAAACGAGCTGCCAGCAGCCCCCTTCAGGGGAATCAGATTTCGGAGTAGCAGCCATGTTAGTCTGTATCCTCAAAAAGAACAGGAGGACTTGTGGCACCTTAGAGACTAACAAATTTATTAGAACATAAGCTTTCGTGGGCTACAGCCCACTTCATCGGATGCATAGAATGGAACATATAGTAAGAAGAAATATATATACATACAGATAAGTTGGAAGTTGCCATACAAACTGTGAGAGGCTAATTAGTTAAGATGAGCTATTATCAGCAGGAGAAAAAAACGTTTGTAGTGATAATCAAGATGGCCCATTTAGACAGTTGACAAGAAGGTGTGAGGATACTTAACATGGGGAAATAGATTCAATGTGTGTAATGACCCAGCCACTCCCAGTCTCTATTCAAACCCAAGTTAATGGGATCTAGTTTGCATATTAATTCAAGGTCAACAGTTTCTCCTTGGAGTCTGTTTTTGAAGCTTTTCTGCTGCAAAATTGCCACCCTTAAAATCTGTTACTGAGTGGCCAGAGAGGTTGAAGTGTTCTCCTACCGGTTTTTGAATGTTATGATTCCTGATGTCAGATTTGTGTCCATTTATTCTTGTGCGTAGAGACTGTCCGGTTTGGCCAGTGTACATGGCAGAGGGGCATTGCTGGCACATGATGGCATATATCACATTGGTAGATGTGCTGCACCTTCCCTCCCCTTTAACTACATCCTTGGACAAAGTCCATTCAATCAAGCTGGGGACCATGTTGTGATGGGATTTCTCCTAGGCGGCAGCAGTGTGCCTCCATAATTAAGGTTAAGATTTTGTCATGGTTATTTTTAGTAAAAGTCACTGACAGGTCACGGGCAATAAACAAAATTCATGGAAGCTGTGACCTGTCCGTGACTTCTGCTGCTGCGGCTCCATGGTGTCCTCTGCCACTGCGGGGTACCCCCACTGCCCGCGGCAGCTGGAAGCTGCAGGGGAGGGGGGTCTCCCTCCACACACGGCGGCTGGGAGCTGCAGGGTGACCGTATTTCCCAAAGAGAAAACAGGACACACCCAGCCACTCACCCAAGGAGCCGCCCTTCCCTTGCGCGAGGCTGTCGCCCATCGTTGAAACCCTGAGGAGGCTGTTGCCTATCGCTGGAACCCTCCCGGGGCCCTGCTAGCTGCCAGCTCTGATCCCTCATCCCCTCGGGCTGAAGCAGAGAATGTCAGGATGACCTTCGTGACATAAACATAGCCTTACCCATAATGCAGTTGGCAGGCATTGGTATTGTTTTTGCAAATGGTTAGATTGACCTAGGTGGCAAAAAGGTCAAAGTTCAGATTTTGGGGTTTGTTTTCTGCGTTCAGCAGCCCATAACCGAAGCTGGCAGCAAACGGCAGGGTTCTAGCTCAGGGTGGGGCCCACGGCCGATAGAGCAGTCTCTTGGTGCAAGTGTCTGCTTGATATTAAATAGCCGAATTCACAAATGCATTGCAGTGTGCAAACGACTCTGCATAACCCTTCTCTCATCTCTTTCCAGAATTCGTTGAAGAAAAGGGGATCTCGTTCTGTGGGGAAGACTGAAAAGAAGCCGTCAGTCCAGGTACCCAGACTGTAGCCAGTCAGGCCCTCCTGGGGCCATGTTGACTATCCATGGCGTTGTAGAACTCAAAGAGCCATGCTCACCCTGCAGGTCGCCAGTCCTGGCATAGCAGTAAAACTGTGCACATGGAAGAGGCATGTCTTAATTTGCATGGCCCTGATGAGTCGAGTGGCCCCTGGGGAATGGTTAGGGTGAAGGGTTTCTAATAAAGGGTTTGGAACGTAGCTCCCGAGGCCTGGAACCAGAAGTGCTAAGTGGGTTGGCCAGCCTGCTCAGCCACGGAACAATGCTGGTGCTGCAGAGAGCCACGTAGCTGACTTTCTCTGGGGGCTAGCTGGGGCTCTTCTCTGGAGAACATCCAATGGCTGAGGAGCAAATGGAGCAAATGCCCCTGCAGTGGTCCTACCTGGGACGCTAACGGTCGCTTTTCTAGGGAGTGCTACAGAGTTCATGCTCTCACCCCCACGTGGCTGGGTGGGGAGGCGGATGAGCATATGGCATACTGAGTGATGTGCTCTGTAAGGAATCTCAGCCAGGTCTCCTTGGCTGGAGGGAGGATACATATGACACAGCTGGAGAGTCAAGCCTGAAGAAATGGGGTGGGACTCAGAACAGTCCATACTCCACTGGGGTAACGAGGATTCGTTAACCAGAAAACTACTCAGACCCAGTATATAGCTAAGTGCCCTTGCTTTAGACCTTGGCTCTGGGCCTAGCTGCATGGGATGGATGGGGATTGCATGACGGGGTTGCCTGCAATAGCAGGGGACTGGACCTGATGACCCATGAGGTCCCTTCCAGTTCCACGTCCTGTTCCCGTGTGCCTGGTGGAGAGAGCACCGTACCTGGCTAGAACAGTGATCCCAGCACCACTTGGGCAGTTTTGACACTCTGAGATATTTAAAAATCTGAGCCAAAGCTCAGCCTGCAGAGAGGGTGCTGTGCCCTGGCTATTGGGTGATTGTGTGTGTCCCATTCACACCTGCCTCTGCAGCACGGGCCATTGCACACGGGCAGGCTCAGGTATCCATCTTGCTCAGACGGTTTAGTGGATGCAGCTGAGGTGCCTCTGTCCAACAGTCTCGCCTTGTAAACTTCCCGAACATCATGCACTCTGTATCCCTGCCTTGTGCAGGACACTGGACATGCAGCAGATATGGGCTCTCTCCACTGGTGGAAGGATTTCGTCTCTCAGTGACTGGTGTGTTCAGTGGCTTTGACTCTCTAATAACCTGACCGCGGTGCGAAGGTTCAGAGTTGGTGTTGTCACTGCAGAAATGAAAGCAGTTTATTGTTCTTAAAAGCCTCTCTCAAAGGCTGATGTCAGCATTTTAGAGGTAGGAAAGGACTGACCGGTAGAGTCTTCATCATTCATTGCTCTGGTTTGTCTCCAGCATCCAAATGCTTGATGTTGAGTTCATGAGCTGCATTAGTTAATCCTGAATAACAGTGGAATATCTGAATTACATGTAACTCAAGACACTGGCAGCAATGCCAAGGGGGTTCATTAGAACAATACAATGATACAAAGGAAATAGAATCATAGAATATCAGAATTGGAAGGGACCTCATGTAGTCCAACCAACCCCCTGCTCAAAGTAGGACCAATCCCCAATTTCTGCCCCAGATCCCCTAAATGGCCCCCTTAAGGATTGAACTCACAACCCTGGGTTTAGCAGGCCAATGCTCAAACCACTGAGCTATCCCTCCCCCCAGATAACATGAGTCTGCTGCAGCAGAATGAGTGTTAGAGGAAATTCCAACTCATTGCATTGCAGGGTTAAATTTATGGCCCTGCTTAAATCTGCAGTGAGGATAAAATTGGTCTTCCAGGATTTGCGCACACAGATATCCTCAGTTGGTATAAATCAGCATAGCTACACTGACATCAGTTGATCTGATTTCCACCGGCTGAGGATCTGGCCTGCCATTGTACGTGGGGGCATACCGTGGAGGGTACGCACACAGATTCACACACACGTACAAAGTATTCACTGGAATAGCAGGTATATCTTCCCTGCAGACTTAGGGAAAGGTCCATGTCTCCTGAGAGTTTGTCTCACCCCCATACCTGCGCAGTGATGATAAATCTGATAATCCGCTGCCCACCGTGACACACTTGGTGGTGGTTCTGAAATCATTGACCAGGAAGCAGTCTGTGTTTTCCCTTTGCAGGGTGTTTGTGTCTTAGCAGACCTCTTTGGTGGAGGGGACACGCTGAAGAATGGGGGTCTGTTTCTGCTGGTTTCTTTGTCCTTTCATTTGTGGCTTTTCTTCCGTCCTCCCATATTTCATCAATGGAGGAGCTTGGTCAAGACAACTGGATGTTCCCCAGAGCACACGTCTGTACATGTGTTGGGCACTGTGGTTAATGGTCAGGTGCACCAGTTTGCACGTTTGAGCTGCACTTGGAAACGCTGTCCCCTCTGCCATCTTTGTCCCTCTTAGTGGGAGATGTTCAGGCCTTTGAGAACATCAAAAACATTCTTACAAGACATTGTTGAGACTGAAATACAAAACCATCCCCACTCCCTCCTAATGAGATACCACAAGGGGCAGAGGGAACAAACACAACACAACTCCAAACCACAGGACATAAACCTCATGTTTCTCAGGCTGTCGTCTTCATGGAGCCAAGAAAGACCCCATGGCTGCTGCAAAGCTGGGTGAGCTCAGGAGATGGACCCCCAGATTCTTCAGAAATCCCTAGGGTGTGAGCAGTATGCTGGTGTGCAAGGGTGGGCAAAGGGATTAGGCTGTCCATGCTACTGCGCAAATGGGTCTGGGGGACTTGAGGCTCTGCCTCATGTGAGTTATGACTGTCCCTGTGTCAGCACTGTGGGTAAAACTGGAAAGTCCAGCAATTTCTCAGCAAGACTAGTCCCTTCCCGTGATGCGACTGATGTAGGCCGTGACGAGTGCAGCAGGAACACCTAGAGAGATGGCGTCCTTCTGCCTACCCTTAGCTGCGTTCGTTTCCTCACTTGCTTGTTTCTGCGGGAGGGAGCGCTGTTCATGGGTAACTCTCAGCACTGCTACTTGTGTGCTGTGAGCTATCGCCAGTGACGGCTTTGATTCATGATTGATCGCTGATTTAGAGAGTTCCTGGGGCCACATCCTGCTCACATCTGACTGGTGTAGTATGAAATGTGACTCTGTTCAAATTAAAAGGGTGGTAGGTGGAAATCAGACAGACTGCTATAGGTGGGCTTCCGTCTGTCATCTGAGTGTTCAGAGAGCACCATTCACCATCACTTCTAGGGGTCTGATGGTTCCAGGCCAGTGGTTTGGCAGTTTGGGTGTGTTGATCTTCAACACTAAGACTTGAATTTTCTCAAGATCTGAACTCCCATTCAGGCACCTGAGCAAGGGGCAGATTTTAAAAGGGTACCACATCTTGGGCGCTGAGATCTTTTGAAAATCTGGCCAGGAGTGTCCCTATGGGAGCTGCAGGGAGGTGTGGGTTTTGAAAGTCTTGCTTTTATTTAGGTGCCCAAATGGAAACCTCTCCTGGAAATCTGCCTCCAACTGAGGGTGCTCAACACTTGAAAATTTGGCCCTCATAGGGTATAGTAAGGGCTATATCCTGTCCTTCGCAGTACACCATTTTTCCACTGATGTGAAATCGGCTGGTGAGCTCTTGCGGAATGTTCTGAGTGAGGCGGAAGGATAACATGAGGCCATCATGCCCACTGCTCTGTCAAGCAGGGGTTTGCGCCCTAGCTTGGGAGCAGGCACCCACCTTTACACTCTGAACGAGGCTGCAGTAAAAAACTCTGGGATTTCATAAAGCAGCCTGGGAAGTTTGCAGAGTTAATAGCTACTGCTCATCTGAGGGTGATGCAGGCTCAGGCGTAGCTGTTGAATTTGAATTTTCAAACTGTATTAGCCATCTGGAAAAAAGATCTTGACTGCTTCACAGGGCACTCAGTGGGAGGGATTCGTCACCAGTGTGCAGAGTTTTCCCAGGAACATGCTTTCTCCCAGCCCTGAAAACAGGAAATGAAATGCGTTCAATGAGATTTACAACCAACGGACCCTTTGCATGAGGTCATATTCGTGGAGCAGAAAATCCCTAACGCACTTGGGGAGTCCAGGAAAGAAATCTCCAAATTCCTAATGGCTTGGCTTTTGAAAGACTGATGGTAACGAACAGCAGAGCTGAGATTTTCCCCTCGGCTGTCTCTCCGGACGTGGAACAGGTCCAGCTTTCCCTGTATTCCACATGCAATGGCTTCATCCCATCTTTCTGGCTTAGTATTTACTGCTGGGTTTTGAGATGGAAGTCGCAGAGTGGAAGTCTCTCTAGCCCCTCAGGCATCTGATGTCCCCTCCCCACAAGACATGTACTTGGCATTTCGCAGGGAGCACCCTGCTCCTCTGTGTGTCTCCATCTCTTGGCGTGAGGAGGGGAAGGGGCTCTCCCAAGCTGCTTTGGAAGGCTGACTTGACAGACACCTAGAATCTGTATCAGATCAGCGCTGGCCCTCTACGCCATTGTCAGCCATGGGGCAGCTCTCGGAGCAGTGGAGTGAATTCCTGCAAAGGGAACGACAGGAAACCTTCCTGAGGGTGGGGAATAGTCTCCCCAGGGAACTGGGGGCCTCCCCGCTGCCCCATGGACAAAGTACTAGAGAGCGGTCCTGAGAGGAGCAGCCCAGTTTTGGCCCTTGGGGGAAAGGGGGCGGATGGGACCTATCAGGGTTTCCCCATCTATGCTCATGCAACAAAGTTGTGGCATAAAGGGCCAGCTACTTCAGCCGTTGTGTCAGGATGTGGGTGAGACTGTTTCAGTGGCCGTTGGGAGCTGTACAGCAAAAGGCCCAGCTCATTTTGAAAATGTACCTTTGACGTTTCCAGCCCTTAGACAAATGAGATCTGTGTTTGCTGCTGCTAACGTCCGCGGGGATGTATGCAGCACTGTCCGAGAGCACACAGAGCGTCTCTGTGCCCTGCGCGCTCAGTCCAAGCACAGCGAGCACACAGCAGGCTGGGTGGAGTGACGTGCCCAGGGGAGGGAGCGAATGGGAGGCTGAGCTGCTCTGTTTTGAAACAATTGACTCCTGTTGGCTGGGCAGCAGAAGGGAGCCCAGAGGGGGGATTTGTAGCAATCTGAACTAATTCAAAACACTGCCGCACTTGCACAGCAATGCCAGGCTTTCAGGAGGAAACCTGCTTGTGGTTTTTATTCTTCCACATGGAGTCTGACAGCTTGTTCCCCACGCTGCTGAAACAACATTTAGCTCTATTTTATTGGCCCGGTTAGAGTGAAGTGCGAACATCGTTTCAGTGCCATGGAGCTTCAGGGGTGTGAATTCCTCCCTGTCAGTTCAGACCAGTTGGGGCCCATCTCCTGTGTGATTAGCTGCTTTCCAGCTCCCTGGGTACCCTTTTCCTGTGTTTGCCACAATTCCATGGAGCCGTATTTCCAGGTATCTGAGGTTTGGTAGGGCCTGTAGGAACTGTCACTCTGCAGACCTGAGGGACAGTTTTCTGACAATGACAGAATGTCTGCTGTGGGCCAGTTCACTTGGGTTTTCTCCATGTCAGTGTCCCAAATTAATTCCCAACTTCAAGGGCCAAATTCTGCCCATAGGTTTGAGAGCGCAGCTCCACTTCGTGACATGAGCTCCTGGACTTCTCACGTGCCCAGTGTAACTGAGGCAATGAAACCGTTGAGGTAGGCCCATTAATTCTCAATAAACTGCAGTCCATATGAAGCCATGTCTTGTGCTCCTGGCCTCGTGCTTTGGCTCAGGTGTATGTTAATAAATTACAAATAGGCAGGTTGACTACTTGAACTTTGTAGAGCTGCAAACAATAGGTATTAAAACGCTCTGTCCTGGGAATTATTTGAGGGACATTCTCTGGCCTGTGTTGTACAGGGGTCAGACTAGATGATCACAATGGTCCTGTGTGGTCTGTGACTCTCATTTTTAACCAGAAGCAGCCTGTTTTCTAATGCCTTTGCCATTTTGGCCCCTAGGAGGACAGCGCAGACCTAAAGTGTCAACTGCATTTTGCGAAAGAAGAGTCGGCTCTGATGTGCAAGAAACTAACAAAGTTAGCCAAGGAGAACGACAGCATGAAGGAGGAGCTGGTGAAATATCACTCCTTGTATGGGGACTTGGAGAGCTCTCTGTCCATAGAGGAGCTGGCGGACTCCCCTCATTCGCGAGAAGCAGAACTGAAGGCCCATCTGAAGCTCGTTGAGGAAGAAGCCAACATCCTGAGTCGGAGGATCGTGGAGCTCGAGGTTGAAAACCGCGGGCTGAGGGCAGAGATGGATGACATGAAGGGACAAGGCGACAGAGAGCTGATGGGGCAGGATATCCGGTTTGCTTTCTCCTCCACCAGCTGTGGGGACTCTGGGGAGAGCCAGGTGGAGCTGAGGCGACACCTGCAGTTCGTGGAAGAGGAGGCAGAGCTACTGAGGAGGTCGCTGATGGAGCTGGAAGACCAAAACAAGCTCCTCATGAATGAGCTGAACAAGTACAAGTCAGACCATGACCTGGACATCACCCTGTCAGAGGACAGCTGCTCGGTGATCAGCGAGCCATCCCAAGAGGAGCTGGCCACAGCCAAGGTGCAGATCAGCGAGCTCAGCGGCAAGGTGAAGAAGCTGCAGTACGAGAACCGCGTGCTGCTCTCTAACTTGCAGCGCTGTGACCTGGCCTCCTGCCAGACCACGAGGCCGATGATGGAGACCGATGCTGAGGCTGGCGACTCTGCGGACTGCATCCCGACCCCTCTCTGGAGAGAGGTGCCCGTTGGAGGAGAGAATGATGCCAAGGACCGCCCTGAGAGAGGGCCTGGCAACGGCAATGGGAAGTCTCAGGATAACAGCCCCACCCAGCTGTTCAAATCCAAGGACTTGGAGATTCTGCTCGGCATCCGGGACCAGGCCGCACTTGTCAGCAAAGCCATCGATGTCTTGATTTCGGACTCCAATGGCTTCACCCCCAGCCTGAAGGTGTGTCTGGACAATGACTGCATGGACCTGGTGCTGAGCGAGCCGGTGGATAACAACAGTGAAAGCACCAGTGACTCCAAGCTGATCAACATGATCTTCATGAGGCTCCGCGTCCTGCAGCAGGAGCTGAGCTCCTTCATGAGGAAGGTGGATCACATTGGGGACTGCTGGAAAGAGCAGATGGACCCTTTCGCCTTCCTGCCCAGCTGCGGCGCCCAGGACTCTCCCAAAGGAGCACTGCGCAAAGAGCACAGCTCTGACTTCCAGGTAGGGTGTTTTCCATGGCATTGCCGTTCCCGTGCAGTGGTGGTTGCTTTATTTGCCGTGCTGTTTCTCCTGCTTTAACAAAACAAACCCCACCTATAATGTAATCTTCCTTGTGCCTCTCTAGAGTGAATGACAAACTAACAACTCACTGCATGGTAATGAACCCACAGACAAGATAGGACTCTGCTCTAACAGAGTGTGCGTAGGGGGAAGGTGGAGCCCTGGAGATGGGGCAGGCAGAGGAACACTGTTTTGGGTCATCGTCACTTCAGAACTCTTGGGGCGTGGGCTGGCTGACACGGAGCCTGTCCCCAGCCACAGGTGAAGGGCTCTCAAGTACAGTCCTACCTCAGCATGCCCAGGGTCCATCCCAGGTGACTGCACTGTTCTGCAGACCCAGCAATAGCTGCCTGGTCTGATGCCAGATTCCCGTCATGGTGAAACATCCCCAAGTGAGCTCAGACCCCATCTAAGTGAGGCAGGAGGCTCATGTGAAATTGGCACAGTGCATGGGAGAGAGGGCGAGGGGTGCTGTCCTGAGTCTCCAGGATCCCGGTGGCACCCCACCTAACAGCCATTCTTTGGGAGAGAACTTCCCAGACCCTTTGCTAAGTGCTGCAGAGAGAGCCCATGAGCAAGAGACTCCAGAGTGAAGATCTGAAAGGCAAATTTCAGTAAGACTCTGAGCATGTCCTCTCGTCCCTGGGGAGCAGCCCCTCCATGCCGCTGGAGCAACAGGATGTGGCTTGTCCCAAAGCACGCAGTCCCGTCGAGATGCATGGTGGCGCTCCCCTTGAGGAGCGTCTCCAGCAGCACCATCTCCTCACGGCATAGACCCTTGGCCACCACCATCCAAAATCTGTCCTGCTGGGAATGTGCCAAAAACCCTGGGTTCACGCTGTTCCCCAAACCAGCCAGCACGCTCCCCCTCGCCTCCCTCGCCCCCACCCCGAGCTCCACATCGCCCAGCCCAGCCCATGTGCAGCAGGAGGAGGGGCACCATAGCTGAGAATTTGGAGACTGCCAGGGGAGGGTAGAGGGCTCCGGGCTCTGAAGAGGGAGCAGATTTCCAGACGTGGCCAGGTGGCAGTGCCCCTTTCCGAAGCACACTCTCATTTGTTCAGAGTTCTATTTTCCTGCATGCTGCTGGGTTTTAGTCCAACCCAGCCCGAGCCCCCACCCCACCAGTCACTGCATGGCACCATAACTGGGGTTTGCATATTTTTCCCCTCTCTCTCTCTCCCCCACCCCAAACAATCCAGCCCACGTGTCTCCTCATCCTGTGTTTCCTTTTGTTTTCCACATTGTCTTATGCCACTGTGCTGAAGCTCCTCTTCCTCTTCATCCTTTTCGTTGTCTTGTAGTTCTTTGCTGTTTCTGAGACCCATTGTTTTGTCTGTTTTTCTTTTCTTCCCGCCCTTTTGGTTTGTTCTCATTAACTTGCCCATGCATGCAGCAGCCAGACTTTAGGGACGGCCCAGACTGGGACGCCGCGGGGAGCCGGCCCCCTGACCTGTACCGCAGCAACAACGCCATGGACGTGGACCCCAGTGTGAAACTCCCCAGGAACTACAAGCCCTACCGACCGGACGAGAACGACTCCTATGTCACCGAGGTAGGTGAGCAGAGGGGGCGGGAGCGCCCCGCCCTGCAGGAGATGAGGCTGGCCTAGGAGATGCTGAGTCAGCGGGGGGAGGGGGAAGGCCAGAAGATGTGAAAGGGGAGGCACTGATGTGGGGCAGGGGTGGCTTTGCTGGGGCCCTTGGGGATCTGCCATGGGAGAGCTCTCGGCACGTGTGTTCAGCAGGCCCATGGCCCAGCTGGGTGAGAGGGAGCATGGGCCCACAGGGCTGCTGGATCACTCTGAAAGCTGCTTTCTGGAGCTTGCCAGATATGGGTGGGGAGAGCTCCCCTCTCTCTGTGGTAAATGGGGTGATGGGGGAGAGCACTGCTGAGCTAGTGGGGCAATGGGGCAGACTCCTTCCAGAGAGCAAAGACTCCAGCTAGCAGGCTGTGTCCTTCCCCATGTGCCAGCACCACCTGGAGGGGAGCCGGTTGTCCTGGGAGGAGAGGAGGCTGTGGGTTCCCGGGCTGCCATAAAGCCCTGCAGCCCCTCTCGTGTCTTGGAGCTCAGCCAGCTGGTGATATGGGCACTGCAGGCATGCTGCTCCCAGCAGGACCACTTCCCTAAGCAGACAGGCACAGTGCAGTCAGAGCCCAGTGCTCAAGAGAGGGACAAGCAGCATCAACCTGAGTGTCCCTAAAATGCACCTGACTCATGCATGATGGGTCTGTGTCTGTTAGCTGCTGTGGAGGATGGGGCTTCCCCCTCTCGCTATCTCCCACCTCTCTTCCCAGATTGCCCTGGGTCTGTCTGACGCGGGGAGGGGTTCTGATTGCTTCTCCACAGGCAGGAAAGTGCTGCCGGCCCCAAACGAGGAGTGCCTTGCCAAGAGAGCTCCCTGTGCTTTCTGCAAGCTGCCCACCCAGTGCTCCGTCTTCCTGACATGAAGCCTGGGGTAAATGGCTTTCCACAAGCTCTGGGAAACGTTGTCACATCCTGTCTCTGAGCCGCCTCCTCTGTGCCACGGGCTTTGTGCTCCTCTGGCGCAGCAACTTCGGTGTTACCCTCTGCTGAGCCAGGCTGCGGGTTTGTTGCCAGGTTTAGCCCCCGACCCAGGGTGGTTTCATGCTTTTGTTTCCAACTCCCGAAGTATCCACGGACCTAGCTCTTCTGCAGAGCATGTGGAATAGTCTGTGCGTGTCTCAAGAGCAGCCTTGTAGAGCACGTGGTACACTTCCGCAGCAGCTGCTCAGGTTGCAAGGCAGAGCTGTAATAAATTTGAAAGACCAGTTCCCTCCTCGTTTCAGCTGCATGTGTGGTTCACAGCAGGGACATGTAACTAGATGGAGGTTTAATTTGCCCCGAAGCTAACTCTGGGTTGGCTGGAAAGCCAGACAGTTTGGCCTTTGTGGCAGAAGATGGAGCCATGACTGACTGAGAAGCTCTGCCTCTCCCCTCCCCAGTCACTGCCCCAGAGCTCGGGTCAGGGCACTCACAGCATGGCCCTGCTCCCTGGTCCTACCTCCTCTGCCCAAGGCGTCGCTGGCGTGATTGGCAGCTTGGTCCATCCCCGTCCCCTCGGACTGGCATTTCTGTGCTGCTGGGCCCAGTGCCCTCAGCTGCCCCATTGTCCCTGTGCAGCAGGCATGAGTCCTGACACTTGCCTTGGGCTACTGGGTAGTAGGGTTTTCCCCAGCCTGGCCTAAGAGGGTTTCCCCACCCTCTTAGCACTCTTCCCCCCGCCCACACACACACCCCTGCCGAGGCTGGGAGCTGCTGCCCTGCTGAACCCACCTGCTCTTCATTTCCTGCTCGGCCTGACTGTTCAGGAGGGACTGCTGTTCACAGCACCCTGCCTGCTGCTGCCTCAGCTCCCCTGCAGCCCCAGTGGTGGGCACCCTAGGGCAGGCATGGATCTGGCTCTGTGTGATGTTTCCGCCAGCTTAGTACTAGCTCTGTGGCCGTGCCCCTCCCCTGGTAGGGGGCGTGCTGGAGCGGGAGGGGAATGGCTCCAGGTATTCTGTACCACTGCAGCAGTGGTACAAGGCAGGGCCTGCACTGGAGGCCTCCCCAGCTCCTGGCTGCCCCTCAACAAGGGGGAGACAAACTGCCCCCCCGGGCCTGCACTGGCCAGTTTCTCCAGAGCAGGATCTGGGTTCTGAGCTGCCTTGGCATGAGTCTCATTGCTGTCTTTCCACGAAGCGGCGCGTTCCTGGCAGGCTGGCTCTGCTGATGGGAATCTCTGTACAAACTGGTGCCGTGTGTCTGTGCCCTGGCCTCCGGGTGCACGGTCCTGCTCCGCACCCGGCTGCTGTCTGGAAACCTTGAGCTGTGCCACCTGGCACGCTGCTCCCCGCACAGTCCCACAAGCAGCTGCAGTTCCTGTGTAGGGCTGAGCTCCGTGAGCTGGAGGGCCCGTCAGACCCGGGGAGGGCAGAGCCTCGGGAAAGGTTGGAGCAGTTGGCCTGGGGCTGCGGATCCCGGGGGGCCCCAGCTCCTAGACAAGTGGGTGTGGGACACCCAGCCAGCAGTGGGGCTGTTGGCTCCGTTGCTCTGAACTAATCAAGGTCCAAACATGGGAAAAGGGTCTTTAAAATGTGGGGGTGGGACCCCAATGGCAGGGGACGGGCCCAATGGCTCACTAGAGGTCCTGTCCCTCCCTAGGGATCCTGTGAGCAGCCACCTACTGCCAGGCATGTCCAGTGACCCTTGGAGGGACAGGTGCACTGGGAGAGCAGAGCTGCTGGAAGGGGAACTTTCCAAGAGGCCAGTTCACACCCCAGCCTCCAGCATGTCTCCTCCAAGCACTGCTTACGGGGGCGCTGTCCTTGCACCACCCCTCAGCTCCTGTGCCAGGCCCGGTGTCTCCGAGCTGCTGCTCTGTGGCTAAACCGAGAGGGCTTTGGTTAGGGGCCCTGGCCTTTCCAAACCGCTGCTTGGCAGCAATGGCGTGAGCTCACCCCATCCCAGCAGCAGCATGATCAGGGCTGGGGCCTTTCTGCTCTCGTATGCCCAGGAGCAGTGGCTGCCGTGAGGCCCCAGTACAGCAAACAGCCACCTGCCCCAGGCTCCAAGTCCCTGTGTGCCTGTCTGCAGCTCCTCCCAGCTGCACGCCGCAGGGTCTACGAGCCTACGGGCCTTGGCTGGCTAGTGAACCTGGCGGGGAAGGATGTGGCTTCCCCATTTTAAAGCTGGCTCGGCTGCGGTGTAGAGAGGGGAAGTGATGAATCATAGAATCATAGAATATCAGGGTTGGAAGGGACCCCAGAAGGTCATGTAGTCCAACCCCCTGCTCGAAGCAGGACCAATTCCCAGTTAAATCATCCCAGCCAGGGCTTTGTCAAGCCTGACCTTAAAAACCTCTAAGGAAGGAGATTCTACCACCTCCCTAGGTAACGCATTCCAGTGTTTCACCACCCTCTTAGTGAAAAAGTTTTTCCTAATATCCAATCTAAACCTCCCCCACTGCAACTTGAGACCATTACTCCTCGTTCTGTCATCTGCTACCATTGAGAACAGTCTAGAGCCATCCTCTTTGGAACCCCCTTTCAGGTAGTTGAAAGCAGCTATCAAATCCCCCCTCATTCTTCTCTTCTGCAGGCTAAACAATCCCAGCTCCCTCAGCCTCTCCTCATAACTCATGTGTTCCAGACCCCTAATCATTTTTGTTGCCCTTCGCTGGACTCTCTCCAATTTATCCACATCCTTCTTGAAGTGTGGGGCCCAAAACTGGACACAGTACTCCAGATGAGGCCTCACCAATGTCGAATAGAGGGGAACGATCACGTCCCTCGATCTGCTGGCTATACCCCTACTTATACATCCCAAAATGCCATTGGCCTTCTTGGCAACAAGGGCACACTGCTGACTCATATCCAGCTTCTCGTCCACTGTCACCCCTAGGTCCTTTTCCGCAGAACTGCTGCCTAGCCATTCGGTCCCTAGTCTGTAGCTGTGCATTGGGTTCTTCCGTCCTAAGTGCAGGACCCTGCACTTATCCTTATTGAACCTCATCAGATTTCTTTTGGCCCAATCCTCCAATTTGTCTAGGTCCTTCTGTATCCTATCCCTCCCCTCCAGCGTATCTACCACTCCTCCCAGTTTAGTATCATCCGCAAATTTGCTGAGAGTGCAATCCACACCATGAGCTCAAGGTCACGGCATGTGTCAGGAGCAGAGTCCAAGAGTGCAGCCTCTGAGCCCCCTCCTCTGTCCCTTGGCCAGGGTGGAGCCCAGGAGAACTGTATCCACCGTCCCCTCCAATGCACTCGCGCCTGCTCCTGGGCCTTGTTCTCCAGGGGAGAGGAACGAGGTCTGGGCATGGCAGAGTGCCAGGGGACTGACTCTGTCCGCTGCCTATGCAGATCAAGGAGCTGCAGCTGGTGCTGGCTGAAGCCAACGAGAGCCTGCGGGGCCTTCAGGAGCAGCTCACCCAAGAGAGGCAGCTGAGGAAGGAGGAGCTGGAGGACTTCTCCCAGAAGATCTGCCAGGTCAGTGAGAGGCGCCGCAGGGAGCTGCTGCAGCGGCCAGGTGGGGTCTATGCCATGACTGCCTGCCCCTGCCTGCGGTGGGGGTAACTGGAGGCAGCCAAGAGCCAGGCTGGGCCTTGGGGATAGTCACAGACCTTGGAGGAGACAAGCCCAGAACCCCACCACCTCCAGGGCAGGCACGAGGCAGCCACTGCCTGCCCCATCTGCTGGGGGAGAAGGGGAGTCTCCATGAGAGCTTGGGCTGTCAGCTCCTTCAGAGGAGTGTGCAGTACCCAGGGCCCCCCGCGGCTCGAACCCGTCTCCCCCCAGCGCTGGCAGAGCTGTGCCAGAGCCTCACCTTGAGACCTTCAGCGTGCCTGGGGCCCGCGGGATCGCCCCTTCCCCCAGCCCACCAGCGTGCCTGGGGCCCGCGGGATCGCCCCTTCCCCCAGCCCACCAGCGTGCCTGGGGCCCGCGGGATCGCCCCTTCCCCCAGCCCACCAGCGTGCCTGGGGCCCGCGGGATCGCCCCTTCCCCCAGCCCACCAGCGTGCCTGGGGCCCGCGGGATCGCCCCTTCCCCCAGCGTGCCTGGGGCCCGCGGGATCGCCCCTTCCCCCAGCGTGCCTGGGGCCCACGGGATCGCCCCTTCCCCCAGCCCACCAGCGTGCCTGGGGCCCGCGGGATCGCCCCTTCCCCCAGCCCACCAGCGTGCCTGGGGCCCGCGGGATCGCCCCTTCCCCCAGCCCACCAGCGTGCCTGGGGCCCGTGAAATGACTCCCTCCGCCCCCTGCCAGCGCACCCGGGGATGGCTCGCAGGATTGCCCTCTTCCCCCGCCCACAAGCATGCCCGTGGGATCAGCCCCCACCCCTGCAGCATGCCCAGGGCCTGCGGGATTGCCCTCTTCCTCCGCCCACAATCATGCCCGTGGGATCAGCCCCCACCCCTGCAGCATGCCCAGGGCCTGCGGGATTGCCCTCTCCCAGTGCCCACCAGTGCACCTGGGGCCCTTGGGATCCCCACAGCGTGCCCAGGGCCAGCGGGATCACTCCCTCCCCCCCCAGCACACTCGCGGGACCATCCCCTCCCTCCCCTGCCCACTAGCATTCCTGAGGCCTGCGTGATCCTCTCTCCCCCCATCCACCAGCGTTCCTGGAACCCCCTGGCCCACTAGCGTGCCCGGGGCTTGTGAGGGGCGCACACACGCCCCATAGCCTGTCATCAGGGCAATCATCCAACATGTCTGTATTTCTCCCCCCTCCCCGCTGTTGCTCCCCACAGCTCCCCGGCACAGCACCACTATCTCCAGAGCCAGGTGACCCTGCTCTGAGCGCCCCTGGGACAGGACTGGGCCCTCCCTCTTCCACCGCTGCTCTCCCGGTGCCCATGAGGCCAGGAATGAGTGACAGCCCTAGGAGCTCTGCTCCAGTCTCAGCCCCTCCCCACCAGGGGCCTAATCCCCCAGTCCTGCCACCTGCGCAGATCCTGCAGCAGCGCCCACTGGGGGTCCTCGCGCGGCCCAGGGGAGGGTCCTTCTCACAGTGGCTCTCCCCCAGCTGCGGGAAGATCAGCAGAAGGCTCTCCTGAGGCGGGAGTTCGAGCTGCAGAGCCTGAGCCTCCAGAGGCGGCTGGAGCAGAAGTTCTGGAGCCAGGAGAAGAACCTCCTGGTGCAGGAATCCCAGCAATTCAAGCAGAATTTCCTGCTTCTCTTCATGAAGCTCAAGTGGTTCCTCAAACGCTGGAGGCAGGGGAAGATCCTCCACAGTGAGGGCGATGGCTTCTTGGAGGTAGGGTGTGCTGCCTGGCCTGCGTGCCATGGGGGTCCCTGCTGCAGCCAGGAGCTCCCATCCCATAGTCTGCTGGGTACTAGGCTGCACTGTCCCAACTGGAGTGGAGACCTGCAGCAGAGTCTGGGCAGGCAGGTGGCATGGAGTGGAGCCTATTCCAGCCTTTGTGACCCTACACATAGATATGCAGCCTGCAGAGCCTGTGGGTTGCAGCCCGGGAGGGAGCTCGGCATGCTGGGACCTGCAGTCTCTGGGCTATCAGCTGGGTAGAGTCAGCGTTGCCAACCCCCATCACTTCCAGCCTGGGGAGGGTCCCTGTAGGGACAGTGGGGGTCAGTCTGGCTTAGCCGTTCCTTCCTCTCTCACACTGGACTGCGGATAAGGTGCCACCTGGTGCCACCCGCACGCTCTGCAGCCCCCTAAGAGTCCTGCTCATTTAACCCAGGTCACTGCAGGGACCAGCTGCTGGGCAGTAAAGTCCTGCAGTGTCCTGAGGTGAAGGGCCCCGTGGCCCATTGCTGAGCCAGCTACTCCCCGCCCTGTGCTCTGTCCTGGGTGGTTTCCTGCGTCTGGGCTGACATCTCACCCCAGACTCAGCGGGTTCCGAAAGGCCCCAGGCTTAGGCTGTGCATGGGGACACCTGGGCAGTGCCGGCCAGGGTTGGCCTGCGCTGGATCCTGCCCCCTTTTCTGCAGCAGAAGGGAGGCTGGGCAGCTCGGCGCAGGGGGAGGCGTGGGAGCAGCATGGAGACGTGGGAGCCACAGCAGGGCTAGTGTCCATTGTTCTGTGGGCAGAGGTGGTGCCTGGCACAGGGTTTTTCTGGTGGGGGCATGCTGCTGCCTGGGGCCACCTCTCAATGGTGCTGGCTGCTGGAAACCTGCTGGCTGTTACACAATGTCAGCTTGCACTCAGCTCCCCAGCAATGGTCACATGCTAGGGAGGAGGTCACAGGGCAGGAAGCAGGAGAATCCGGAGTCAGCGCAGGTCAGCCCTCAGACTCCAGCCCTGCATCCAAGCAGACAGGCCAGGGCCTGTTAGTCTGCGGGCTGCACCTCTGCATCATTACTGTTCCTGCGCACGTCCATGAGACGCCCATCTACATGCCAAGCCAGGGCAGCTGCTCCCTGCTCTAATGCCAGTTAAGTGCATAGCTGCCCCTCGGGGAAGCTTGCCCAACACCTGTCTGTGCCGAGCCCGAGTCCCTCGCTTCTCTGAGCACTAAACGTCTTCACAAACGAGAACAAATGACGTGCACAGAGTGTGCTGCCTCTGGCCGGCAGCAACTGTGTCTGAGGCTTGGTAACAACAGCCTCATTATGGCCCGGCCTTGTGCTGAGGCCAGAAGATGACTCTGTGCCCTGGCACGAGGCTGCAGTTTCTGGTGCCTGGTACGGAAGAGCCAGAAACACGAGCTGGGGAGGTGCTGAGACCAGATCACCCCCACCCCACAGCTCTGCTGAAGGCCCTCAGTCCACGCATGCAGCTCCTCCGTTACTCCAGTCCTGGGCCCCACACACAGCTCTCCTGGTGGCCCTCCATCCCAGCTCGCAGTCACCCCCTATCCCTGGCCTCTGTTGGGTACAGGCAGCCATGGGTGCCAGCTTCTCCCTGCCCCAGGGCCCCTTCCCCCCACTCCCCTGGGCCAGGAGCCCCTCGTCTGCCCGTGGCTGGAGGCTGAGGGGGACCATTGTATCTTGTTGTGCTTCCAGGTGAACAGCATGAAAGAGCTGTACCTACTGATCGAGGAGGAGGAGCTCACCCCACAGCAGCAGGCCGATAACAAGATGTGTGCCGGAGACACCTGGACCCAGAACACGGTGAGCTGGGACCCTGGCACGCCTGCTGCGGTGGGCGCCCAAGCGCTGAGCTTGGGCGGGGGGGCAAGTGCTCTGTAGTCTCTGGGCTCAGCCCGGCTCCCCGGGCACAGGCTGGTGCCTGGCTCTAGCAAAGAGCGAGCGTAGAGACTGGGCATGTTTGTGGGCAGGGTGCCTTACATCCCCCCTTCCTTTCCCACTCCGTTCTCGTTTCCCAGGACCAAGCACACCCAGGACCAGGAGGCTGTGCAGGGCCAGGCTGAGGCGGGAGGGTGCTGTTTCCCTGGGAGCTCAGGCAGCCCGGGGCCCTGTGCGTGTCTGCTGCAGCAGCCCCTCAGTCCTTCCATCCCGGCCCCTCTCCTGGGCTGGCAGAAGGGACTGCGGGTCGGTGTGCTGCACCCCAAGCCCAGCACCAATGGCCTGGTCACAGTCAGACCCTGCTGCCCAGGCAATGAGGCCAGAAGCCCTGATGTGGCTGCTCCTGCTATTTGTAAGCATTGGGGATTGATCGGGAAGTGTTAATGCCGCGCAGACAAGCCGAGGGAGCCCCTGAACCCGGTGCCGTGGCTCCCGGTGCCGGCAGGAATGTGGGTGTTCCTCAGAGAGCAGGGGCTGCAGATCCTGTGCAGGGGTGGGCAGGTCTGTACTGGAAACATCACCCGCTGCTGGGGGCTGTGGGGAGGCGTTCATAGGGGTGGAAGTGAGGCTGAGTGGGGGATGTCTCTGAGCCTGCCCCAGCTGAGGCCCATGGGCTCGGGTCCATGTTTACATCGGAGAGCAGCAGCCATCCAGATGTCTGTGTTTAGCCCTTGTAAGGCAGAAGCTGGATGGGGAGGGAGCCTGCATGCAGCTTCTAGGCTGGGCTCTGAGGGACACCGCAGTGCGGGGCACCTGTCGCCAGCTCCCCGCACCACCAGGACATCCCATAGCGGGGCAAACAGGGCAGCTGGCTGTGGGGTAAGCTCTGGCTGGCCGGAGTCTCTGCGCTGGGCCCCGGGGCTGGCCGGAGTCTCTACACTGGGGCATTACGCTTTCTGTGTCATGTAGAGCAAGGGGCTGGGCCTAACCAGCAAACTGCAGGCCTAGCTTGCGGCAGAGCCGCTGTGTCCTGTGGGCTCCAGCTTCCTGCTGCTCTATCTGCTGAGAACAAGGTGCGCTTGAAACCTGGCTCCTTACTATGAAAGACACAGCGTCTGGGTGTAGCCGGCAGTACAAAGGAGCCTGAACTTCCCATCCCTGGGGCTGCACACCTGGCTGCCCGGGATCTCACAGCGGAAGTGCCAATGAAGAGACACCCTCCTCCCCGCCTTCAGCCTGTGTGAGGCTCTGCTGGGGGCCTCCGTGGAGCGTGCCAGCCTTCATGCCCCTTTGCCCCTGTTCTGCAGACATTCCTCCTCTTCTCTGATCCTCCAGGGACGAACAGGGGTGTTGGGAGAGGCCCTGAGGCTGGCCTCCCAGCCACCCGGCAGGCCTGGCCTTCCTGAGACGGCGGCTGGGTGAGCTCAGTGGGCAGGGCCAAGTTCTGCAGGAACAGGCCCCTGCTGCAGCTTCCTCGGGCCCTTCCGCTTGTGGGGTTGGGGGAATGGCCTCTCACCTTCCTCACGGGCCAGGGAGGGGGTAGCCTCTACATGCTGACCCTAGGGTGGCTAGCAGGGGTCCCTGCACTGTTTCCCAGCCTTCTGCCCCGGAACTGCTCCAGCAGGGGTGGGGCGGCAGGCGGAAGCCAATGGGCACTGAGAGCGGGTGGCGGTGGGACACTGAGCTGCTCCGGCAGGAGCGGGGAGGTGGGCGGCGGGCGGAAGCCAATGGGCACTGAGAGCGGGTGGCAGTGGGACGCTGAGCTGCTCCAGCGGGAGCGGGGAGGTGGGTGGTGGGCGGAAGCCAATGGGCACTGAGAGCGGGTGGCAGTGGGACGCTGAGCTGCTCCGGCAGGAGCGGGGAGCTGGGCGGTGGGCAAGGACTCTCCCAGCCCTCGAGCAGCTGGCCAAAGTCCTTCTCCCGTTTGTGTGAGGGGCACTGGGGTGGGGGGGATTTGTGCAGCTCTGTCTCCCAGTCCTGTGCTCTGCCCTCCCAACTCTGCAGCCTACTGGCCTGAAGGGGCTAGGGGTTACTTCTGTGTCCCCTCTCCCATGGGGTCGTCATCCTCAGCAGGGGGTTTCTACGACAGGTTTGAGGACCATGAAATGAATCCAGTGTGTATTGCAGGGTGCAGCTGGAGTGCTGGCCTGGAGTGAGCCTTCCTCCCCCAGGTCCCAAGGCTGGCGGGGTGGGGGCTGGACAGCCCAGCTGGCCCCATTGCTGCTGAACTGGCTGTAGGGCAAGGCACATTCTTGAAACAAAATCCACGGGAGGAGGCAGCCCAGCCTAGACCAGACCCCTGGGGCCGGCAGAGCTGCCTCTCCTGTCCTCGCTGCCTGGCATAGACAGACACTGGGCCCGTGGAGCCCTGCGCCCGCGGCTCCGGGAGAGCGGACGGCAGCACCTCCCCCCAGGCAGATGTCTGTGAACAGCTGCCCGCGCTCACACCCTTCTCCCTTCCCCTGCCCGGCAGCCCAATGAGTACGTCAAGACCCTGGCAGACATGAAGGTGATCCTGAAGGAGCTGTGCACGGAGCTGCGCGAGGAGAGGCAGGGCGTGAATGAGCTGCAGCAGCAATTTGCCAAGGCCAAGGCTGCCTGGGAGGTCGAGCGGACTGAGCTCAAGTGCCATATCGCCCAGGTAAGAGCTGCAGACGCGCACTGGAGTCTTGGGGGGGGGGGGCATTTTCCTCCTTTGGCTTCCCTTCCCCCGTCACCCCAAAATCCCTGCTTCAGGATGACCCTCCTTCCAGGCCAGCAGGATGGCCCCAGCAGACCCCCTTGGCAGGGCTTTGAATGCAACGGCAGCGTGTGCTCAGAGCCCAGCAGGGCAGAGCGTGCTTCCCAGTGTTTGTCTGATATTAGAGGGGCTGAGAGCGGCAGGAGACATCTGCAGCCTGATAAGCTGGGCTGGGGCAGAGGATGAAAGCAGAGCATTGTGGGAATCTTAATTAGTAATCTCTGCTCCTGCTGAGGGAGTTTCTATAGCAACAGGGCTGACACTGAGAATCCAATTGTTGGAGTAAATGATGCCCCTTATTTCCCTTGCAGGGATTGCTGGGCTGGGGACCCAGAGCAGGTGGGAGGAGTATCCTGGCTGGAGAGATCCCAAACAGAAGCAGTGGAGAGGCTGGCTGTGCATGCAGTGAGCCCTGAGGATGCTCAGCAGGGACCCTGGTTGAACAGGATAGCTGTCCAGCACCACTGTCATGAACTGGGATGTGGGCAGCCAAGCCTAGTGGTTGGAGCAGGACTCAGGCACCAGAGTCAGGAAGCCAGTAGGCAAGTAGGAAACGGACTGGGCAAGCCAAGAGCAATGCTGGGAACAAGCCAGGCTCAGGGCTGGAGCAAGGCTAGGAGCAGGGCAGGCACCAGAGAGCGCACAGCTGCAGGCGTGTGTGATGAGCAGCCAGAGATCATTCAGTCGTTGCTGATGGTCATAGGAGCAGGCCTGGTGACCTCCTCAGCCGGTCGGGTGGAATGGTCAATCAGGTGGCCTTGCTGTGCTAATAGGCTGCCCTGACACTGAGCAGGTGCAGCTACAAGTCCTCACTTCTGACAGTTCCTCATTTTAGGAGACAGTAAGAGGTGGTACCCTCCAAACTCCGCCCATAATCTATGCTCCACCCACATCATAGAATCATAGAATATCAGGGTTGGAAGGGACCTCAGGAGGTCATCTAGTCCAACCCCCTGCTCAAAGCAGGACCGATCCCCAATTAAATCATGTGATGCCAAAATGAGATGCCGCTTGCAGCGGATTGGTCGGCAGTTTTCAGATATTCCTTGGGTGCTGATTGGCAGTGAAAAAGTTAACAGCATTGCCATCTTTAGGCTGTAGGGTAACACACATGGAGCTGCATGGACCAACTCCCACCTCTCTGAGCTCTTTTGTCAGGCTCTCTTCAGACTCAGGCAGACACCACCACATCTGTGACACTAGGGTCACCTTTTCAACCAGGAGGCTCTGTATTTATCTCAGTGACTCCATCTCGCGTATGTCAGTTCACAAGTAGAAGGAAACGGCCTGACCTGGAGAATCAGTCTGGGATCAGAGAGTCAAGCTGGGCTTTTCCCTATGCCTAGGAAACCACTAATAAAGGCTCTGTAGCAGGTATTAGCACAGGTGTCGCTGAGTGGGAGCAAGTGAGCAGACTCCAGCCCCTTCTCTGTCAGCTGTGCTGGCTGGACAGGGCTGCCAGGAGCACAGAGTGATTTTAGTGCTTAAGGACAATGGCTCGGATTCTGATCCACACGCTGCAGCATGAAGGGCTGTTGCTGAGCAGACCTGCACTTTAAGGCAAGCAGATTCCAGTGACATTCCTGGCCCATCTGACAGTGAGGGTCCATTCTGCTAGCCTTGCAAAGCCAATTCATCTGGCAATCAGCATGTTTTCCTGACACCTGGAAATACTTGCCCAGTACATGTCTACTCTGTGGGCTTTCCCAGGATCAGGGCACGTGCAGTCCCTTGGCCGTGCAGTGTTGATGTCTCTGGCCTACAAATAGTCATCTCCAAGCTGTCGCATGCTCAGAGTCATGCCAGGCTTGCGTGCAGCTCAAAGCAGGCAGTGTTGAGATCAGCAGAACCCAAACTAGTGGAAATGAAGCCTGGATTTATGGCCTTACTGGCTCCGATGACCGGAGGCAATAAATGCTGGGTGACCACAATGCCCAGGCTTCAGGGGAACGTGTTACTTGACAGATTAATTTGGAGAACCTTTTCGTGGCCAGGATCTGCAGGAGGAGCGCAGTGCTGCATCTGCACCTGAGCTTGGGAGCTGGAGCCAGGGTGTTGACAAGACCTTCTGCTGGGGGTGCTGTGTGAGTCCCATGGGCCACATAGGGTTGCCAGGTGTCTGGTTCTCGACCGGAACGCCTGGTTGAAAAGGGACCCTGGGGGTGGCACTGCAGACCGGGCCGTTAAAAGTCCAGTCGGTGGCGCAGAAGGGCTAAGGCAGGCTCCTTGCCTGCCGTGGCTCCGTGCAGCTCCCGAAAGCAGCGGCATGTGCCCTCTCTGACTCCTATGCATTGGGCAGCCAGGGGGCTCTGCACGCTGCCCCCGCCCCAAGTGACCACTCTGCAGCTCCCATTGGCCAGGAATCGCGGCCAATGGGAGCTGCGGGGGCGGCGCTTGCTGATGGAGTAGTGTGCAGAGTCGCCTGGCCGCATTGCTGCATAGGAGCCAGAGGGGGGACATGCTGCTGCTTCTGGGAGCTGCTTGTGGTAAGCGCTGCCCGGAGCCTGCACCCCTGACCCCCTCCCATGCCCAAACCCCCTGCCCCAGCCCATATCTCCCTCCTGCCCTCCAAACCCCTTGGTCCCAGCCTGGACCACCTTCTTGCACCCCAAATCCCTCATCCCTGGGCCCCCTCCCACACTCTGGACCCCCCAGCTTGGAGCCCCCTTCTGCACCCCAAATCCCTCATCTCCGGTTCCCCACCAGCCTGGTGAAAATGAGCGAGTGAGTGAGGGTGGGGAGAGTGAGTGACAGAGGGAGGGGGGATGGAGTGAGCGGGGGCAGGGCCTTGGAGGAGGGGCAGTGCAAGGGTGTTTGGTTTTGTGCGAGCAGAAAGTTGGCAACTCTAGGGTCAAACCAGGCATCCTTGGGGATGTCAGTAGTCAGGGAGCAAAGCTTGTTTCTAATGGTGGTTAACCCTGCTGGGAAAGGGGCGCTCTCTGTTTGGGGGGCAGGGGTGGGGGGGTCATAGAAGCAGTCAGTGGAATTGTCAGGGACCCTCTCCAGCTGAGCAGGCTGTGTGTGCAGGCCATTTGCAGGCAGTAAATCATGGGCCGGGGGCAGGAGAACAGTTAGGCCATTAGGCAAACAAGCTGGTGTCTTTGGCCACTCTCTGACACCAGGGCACCTTTTCTGTCCCGTCGTCTAACTCTTACTGCTTTGGAAATGTAGTGAGGCTTCCTGTTGGTTTCATCCCCATCGCGCTGAGCTGTCTGGGGCTGGGGGCCGTGTCAGTGTGATGCTAGCTTAATGTGATTGTAAGGGCCTGCTCAGAGATGCACTGGGCCCTCATGAAGTCATGAATAATAAACCATTTGCCAGCCCCGTGCTCCAGAGGTGTCATTCTTAGGCTTTCCTCCAGACTCCAGTATCCCCTAGTGTCATTGGACTGGCCTGGCTTTAAGCATCTGTGCAGCATCCAGACCCATTTATCACCAAGCTCAGAATAATCATTTCCCACTCTGCTGTCTGAGCCGTTGTCTGCCAGAGGACTTGAGCCCTGCCCTGGCTCCCTGCTAGCTGGACCCTGCCGTGTGGTGTAGTGGTATGGCCTCATCTGTCTCACGGGGGTCTGTGTCTAACCTGCCCTTGGACGCCCTGAGCTCTGTTCTCTTCTCTGATTGCTTTCCCTGGATCTTCATCTTCCTTTTTGCAAGGCAGATCCATGAGAAACTAACTGAGAACCCAGTTTGGTTTACACCCCAAAATGGCCAGCTGTTGTTCGGTGCTACCTCCCAAGGCACTGGACACGGCTCGAGGAGTTAGTCCCCACGCGGTACCCCTGCCCCTACTGCTGATCCGATGTTTCTGGCAGCGGCAGCATCTTTTGCTGATGCTCTCTCTGAGCAGCTGTCAGTGGCTTCAACCTGCCTCTCAAGCCATCACACGCTTAAGCCCCTTGTGAGCTGTCTGAGCTGCTGAGCCCAGGATGAGACACACACAGATTCACCCCTGCTTGCGAGCTGGTCTCAGGGCTTGGGAGATCCTGGGTATCGTATCCCATGCCTCTTGCCTCCAGGGCACAGCATGGGCTGGCTTGGGGCTCTAGGATTTCCCATAGCCCGCCCTAGCCCTGCCTCCTCCCAGCGTGGCCCCTTGCCTTCAGAGTGCTTTGTCTGTGTCCAGGCTCCGGCCAGCCAGGAGTCTCCCTGCTGCGTGGGAAGGGGACAGCCACCTGCTCTCCGCCTGAGTGCTCCTTGCTGCTGTCCCTCTCCCAGGTGTGGGGTGTTAGCCTGTCTACTAAGCGCTGCTCTCACTGCCTGGCCTCAGTACTGTATTGTGCAGGCACCCTGTGATCCCAGTCCCACTCAGGTTGTGCCCCAAAACCCCTGTGCTGGCTTCTGGGCCCATTCCTCATGCAGCACTGGCAGGGGCTAAACCCGGGTTTCTTCTGCCCATTCCTGGTGTGTGCCCAGAGAGGGGCTCAGACGCTGCCACAGGGAGTGTGGTATGACTAGATAATGGGCCAGAGGCAAGCTGAAGATCTCCTGGCACTTTTCCCGAAGAACTGGGGCTAACTAACCTGGGGACGGAGTCCCCCAGCCTGGGACGCTGAGGGTCCTACCCGGGGAGTGTTTGTCCCTGTGCAGTCAGTGCCCAGCTGGGATCTGGCTCGTTGCTTTGAGTACAAGAGGCGCCATCTCCCAGGATCCTCCATGGGGTCCCAGCCAGCGATCGGCTGCAAAGATCTGTAATGCCCCTTCTCGCGCCCGCGCCTCTGAGCTGGGTTCTCTCTCCCAGCCAGCCCTCCAAGAGCCACCAGGCCACAGGCTGCTAGCACCTGAGCTTGCATGTTCAGCTTTGTGCTTCCCTTCTGCATGACCATGGCTGCAGCTGCCCTGCTGGTCCTTTAAGAAAGAGACTGTCCCCTTGTGGGCACAGCAGCTCCAGGAGGACATGCAGGTGAGGCTCTGGGAAGCTGACTCAGCAATAGCCCCCTAGCCCAGCCCAGTGTTAGCAAGGGCTGGTGGTTGGCAGGCTGTAATACTCACCTGGAGGCGGGTGTTCCTGCGGTCTGATCTCCTCTCCCCTGGATTCCCCGCAGCTGGAGTCGAAGGTTGGGAAAGGGGTCCCGGAGCGAGCCCCATCGGACTGGAAAGTGGCTCTGAAGAGGGAGCGAGAGGAACACCAGCACCTCCTGGCCGAGTCCTACAGCGCAGTCATGGACCTCACCAAGCAGCTCCAGATCAGTGAGAAGAACTGGAACCAGGAGAAGGTGGAGCTGCTGGGCAGGTTCAAGGATGAGCAGCAGCAGGCAGAGCAGCAAGTGAAAGAGCTGCAGAACAAAATCAACCAGGTAGGGGCGTACGCACGCACGTGCCGCTCACTGGAGTGTGCCTGCCCACGCTCCTGAGCTCACACTCACAGAGACGCTCATGGGAGCATTGTTCCTGCATGTGTACATGCACACGCATGTGAGCTGGTGCTTAAAGATGCTCCTGGGAGCATACCCTCGTGTGTACATGTACGTGTCGCTGGGCTCACACTCACAAAAGTGCTTGCTGCTCATGGGGCTTTGTGCGACCGTGCGAGTGCATGGATGCACCCAAGCTCTCACGCCAGTGCTCTCTGCTCCCATGAACGCACGTGCTCACATGAGTGTACGTGTGTACAGCCACTGCCAGGCATGCTCCCACGCAAGTGATCCCAGCCTGCTTTTGCACGTGCTCACATGACACTTGCGTAGTGCACACTCTTGGGAACATGCTAACAGGAATACACGTTCGCACATCCCCCAAACTGCTCTCAGAAGCCCCCTCCCCTGCAGGCAGTGGCTCACGCTTTGTGGTGACTGGGTGAACGCAGGCCTTGCTAGCTGGTTTGTCTGATCCCCAGGGTGGAACTCATCCCCTCTGCCTTTGGCTCGCTGTCCCCCCTTGTGGGTCTGCCCCAGTCCTTAGGTCTCCCACTCCCCATGCAGCAGTCCTGTAAGCTTCCCAGCCCAGCTGTGTTCCAGCAGCTCCAGCCAGGCTCCTGCAGCCCCCCCGAGTCGAGTGCGGCTCTGGGCCTGCCCTGAGCCTGAGGAGTCCAGTATGTCCACTGGCCGAGAGCGCTCTGGGCCATGGGAAAGCCATCGCGCTGCTGAGCCCCAGTTCAGCCGTCGCTGCCTGCAGGAATGGCCCTTGGGGCAGCTCCTGCCTTCAGGCCAGCAGCTGCTCTTACAAGGCCTCTCCCCCACTCCCATGTCAAGTGACTGGCTCCTTTTCTGTGCGATTCCCAGCTGCAGAAGGGAGCCGACCGGTGGGCTGTGGAGAAGCAGGGTAGCAACTGGAAAGAGGTGAGCAGGAGAGCAGCTGTGCCTGCCTGTTGGGGGGAGGGGGCATTGCCAGCAGCTTCCCAGGGAGTGAGCTGGGCATGAGACTGGATCCGTGGGAAGGCGGAGCAGCTGCTTCTGAGAGCAGAAGCCCAGCCCCCTTCCCTTGGATTGGGGTGGAGCACTGCATGTTGGGACTCATCACCTGTGTTACAGTCACGCCCAGCACACAGCCATGGCGGGGCCCCTCTGTGCCAGACACCAACACACCAGTCCCTGCCCCAGAGCACTCAGTCTGACCAGTCTGCTCCCTTGGATCATGAATGCTCACTGGGCGTGGCATTTATGTAACCCTTGGCGCCCTGAGATCTCAGAGGGGGGGTCATTGTTACCAGCCGGGTTAATGTGGCACCAAGATTATGGGCAGGTTCAAACATAGGGCCCTACAGTTAGACCCCTGAATACATGGCTTTTGATCCAGGCTTGGTGAGCCCTGGCAGCTCTGCCTGGCGCCATGGGGGCTGTAGGTCTCTGTCCTGGGGGCCTAAAGACAGATTTAGGTTCCTAACTTTAGGCACTGAAAAGTTCTGACTTAATGAGGCTGTTGTAGAGCTGGGAATGGAACCCAGGAGTCCTGGCTGCCAGATGAGCTGTACTGTCACTTGGATACAGATTAGGTGTAGCTCCTGCACTCCTGGGAAGTTGCCAGTGCAGCTCCTTGGTTTGGAGTCCCCTGGCCTGACGTACCGTTCCCAAGTCCAGGTCGCGTGCCAGCTAACGTCAGCGCTTCCTCCTGTGTCGTTCTAGACGCTCAACGAAAAGATCACCGACAAAGAGACCGTTTCTGAAACAGACCCCAAGGGAGCCAGTTTAAAAAGGTGAGACACATACACCCACTTGGTACAGGGCAGCCTGGCACTGCTCGCTCCTCCTGGGGCTTGGGGGGTGAGTGCAGGAGCCTCAGCCTAGGGCTGTGACTGGTTGGTGAATGTGGGCTGATGGGCTCACAGCCCTCCTTACAGGTGTCACGCTGCCGGGACCCCCCCAGCTCATCTCCTCAGTATCTGATGGCCTTCACATCTGCTCAAAAAGAAAAGGAGTACTTGTGGCACCTTAGAGACTAACCCCTTTTCTTTTTGAGGATACAGACTAACACAGCTGCTACTCTGACATCTATCTCAGTGGGCTAGTGCTGGGGACCTGCTTCCCCCAACAGACTCTTTGGGGGGAGGCTGCTGCTCCAACCCCTAGAATGGTGCCCTGCAATGTTCCCTCCAATTTTTTCCATCCATGTGCGGAATAAATTTTGTTATGTGCACCAATATTGAGGTAATGTGTGGATGTGCGCCACCAGTAGAAACAAAAAACCTAGATTTTTTTTTTTTTAAAGTTACCATAGGGATAATTACTCCAGCCAGGACAGGTTAGAACTCACTACTCAAAGAATTAAATTTAAGCATAAGAGAGAAATAAAATTATGAAATGCACAGACCAGTCAAAAAACTAAAATAACAGCACTTTGAAAGAATAAAATTACAGAGAATATATGTGTATTGCAGGAAGTACCGAGAAGTAACAACAATAGCAACACAAGTCTGTGTTGGGAGGCGAGTGTGTGTGAGAGAGAGAGACTGTGCATGTGAAAGATCGGTCCCTACCAAATTCACGGCTAGGAAAAATGCATCACGGACCGTGAAATTTGATCTCCCACCACGAAATCTAGTCTTTTATGTGCGTTTACCCTATACTGAACAGATTTCATGGGGGAGACCAGTGTTTCTTAAATTGGGGGTCCTGACCCAAAAGGGAGTTGCAGGGGGGTCACAAGGTTATTATAGGGGGGTCGTGCTATTGCCACCCTTACTTCTGCGCTGACTTGGGAGCTGGGTGGCCTGAGAGCGGCAGCTGGTGGCTCAGTTCTGAAGGCAGCGCCACGGCCATCAGCAGCAGTGCAGAAGTAAGGGTAGCAGTTCTACAATAACCTTGCGGAAAAAAACCCCTCCCCCCCCCCCATGCACAAACACACACACACACACAACTCCTCTTTGGGTCAGGACCCCTACCATTACAACATCATGAAATTTCAGATTTAAATAGCTGAAATAATGAAATTTACGATTTTTAAAATCCTATGGCCGTGAAATTGACCAGAAGGGACTGTGAATTTGGTAGGGCCCTAGTCAGAGACAGAGAGTGAGTGTGAGAGAGAGGGAGAGTGTGAGAGTGAGTGTGTAAGAGAGGGAGAGTGTGCCAGCAGCTGGGGAAGCGTATGAGCGACCATGCGTTGTCTTGTTAAGCAGAGAGGCACTCACCAGAACTCAGGCCACAGCAGTTCTGTTCTGCTCCTGCGCCCTGTCTCCCTACCCCCGCTCTGCGGAGATGGGGTACTTGGGCAGGGGGGAGGGGGACACCCTGAAATCAGCACACACACCCCTCTACCACAGCAAGCAGGAGGGTCCCGGGAGCAGCTGGCCAGGGGCTCCAAGGCAGAGGGCAGGAGCAAGGCGGCCGCAGAGCAGCGGGAGGAGGGGCACCTGCACACACGTCGCCAGATGTGCGCGGCACTTGATTGACTCTTGGGCAGCAGCGCAGCTTAGAGGGAACGTTGGTGCCCCGGGGTAGAGAGGTAAACTTGGCTTCTCCTCCACAAGGAGCATGAGCATAAAGCACCCGTTATTGAGCAGGGTCTGGGAGATGCTCCAGAATCCTTTGCTGCTAGGGAACTCCAGGGTGGTACCTAGTTACTGGGCGAGGGATTTGGGTGGGGGAGGCGCCCTGTTTACACAGGGACCTGGCTGCAGGGTGGGAGGAATCATTGCTGTTTTTGCTGTGCAGGGGAGAGGTGCACGTTCTGTTCCCTGGGCGTTTCCAGAGCCTGCAGAGGTGTGTGAGTGGGGCAGGACTGCCAGGGGAGGCGGGGGCTGGGGGGGGTTCGAGTGCATCTGGGACAGATGCTTGGGTTTGAACCCAAAGGTGAATGCATAGGGTGTGTTTGCGGCCAGCCCTTGCAAACAGACTTGTAGGGTTTGGCTTATGACCCCCTGAACCCTGCTCTGCCCTGTTTCCAGCCTGCGTTCAGCCAGCACTTCCCCAAACATGCCATTGCTCCATGCTCCCAGCCCGGAGCATATTCTCCCAGGGACCTGCCTGTGGCAGGTTCACCTGAACCAGGGGAACCTCTCCCAAAGCAAGCTCCTGAAATCTGTACAACCAAACGATACTCAAGGCAGGATGGCCAGGCAGGCTGTGCCTGGCGTAACCTGACCCAGAACAGTCTTTTCGCTGACTGAGGCTGAACAGTGCTGGGAGTGAGGGGCCAGGCCAGGCTTTCAGGTTAAGACCAATCCCAACTTCACCCAGAACTGCACGCTTGGAGGAGGCAGGCAGCCCTTTGCATCTTGACTGTTGAGCCCTGATTGGCTTCTGCCTACTCCTGGCTCTTCTAGCCACTGGAGGACCAAATCTTATTGGTCCCACTAGCAGCTGATCCTGGGTGGCCTCTCTGGGCAGCTCCTGAAGGTCTAAACTTGATGCTCATTTTCCCCCCAAAAGACACCTGCTTTGGGTGGGGTGTGCCAAGGTGGTGGGGCCTGCAGCAAGGGGCACCGAATACCTGGTAGTGCCCCTCTCCCCCCCCTGCATGCACTGCTGTGCTGGCTTGTAGCCATAAATCCTGCCTGGGGACAGGAAGCTTGGGTTGGTGTATAACCCTTCCTTGCAGCTTGTTAGCCCACCCAGCATTTCACCACACTGTGCAAAGGCCCAGCAGAGTGAGCAGCAATAAATACCGGGTGTGCTCCTCGAGATCACAGCTGTGTAATCCAGCCCACCTAGATAGAGCCTGTTAGCCATGCAGGAAACATGCCCAGAGCAGCCGCATTCAGAGGGGACTTACTGGAATGATTCCTTGGCATGACCCCAGCTGCAGGTCATTTGCGTTCTCATCTTCCTTGGCTCATCCAGGCTGTAGGCTCCTTACAGCATTTGTAATTCCTGGCACCTCTTCAGCTCTCATCTGTCAGGCTCTCTCTGCTGCCTCTGGGTTTTCCCCACTCTCCAGCGTCTTTGCTGTTGGGGCTGTGCCAGCCTTCGACGCACCTCTGGGTTTGCTCTCTCATTTGGTGAGTTACAAAGCCTTGGCTGGCAGAGCCAGGTGAGTAGCCCTGAGAGCAACCACCTCCCATCTAGCTTGCTGAAGATGGTTGTGTCTCACAACTCAGGGCAACTGCACCTGGATCCTCTTTCACGGTCCAGCAAGGCCACCCCCTCTAGGCTCCCTGCTCCCTAGCCGGGGCTTCTCTTGGCTGAGACCCACATGTTTCTCTCCCTTCTGAGCAGGGTATTTCAGGCTGAATGGCCCTCTGCCTGTGTGGTGTTATCCCCTAAGCAGGCCTGTGTATGGTGACCAGACAGCAAGTGTGAAAAATCGGGACGGGGTTGGGGGGTAATAGGAGCCTATATAAGAAAAAGACCTAAAAATCGGGACTGTCCCTATAAAACTGGGACATCTGGTCACCCTAGGCCTGCGGCACTTCTCTCCTCTGAGCCAGTGCAGTGTGTGATTGCCCCTGGTATTTGTTACCACCCTGCCCTTTGTAAACCAGCACATTTCATTCGTAGGGTAGAAGCATTACAGAGTAAACAGCTTACCAACAATGAAAGAACCTACATGCAGACAGGCCTACCAGAGGTCAGCCAGCTGCCAAATGGCTCTGTCAGGAGCATTTCCGCCGTCCCAGATATTTTCTTGTGGGTTCAAGGTCCTCACCCCCTTTGCTCGAACCTGAGCATGCTGAGACCCAGAGCACGTCAGCAGCCGGGCAGTGGGGCTCTGCTCAACGTGCAGCTTCAGAAGCCTGGATTGAGGTGAGGCCTTTGCCTTCCCCTTGCCTCCAAGTGTTTCCTGGGAAATCCACTTCACATGTATTGTCCCCAAAAGGCCTTTGAAGTTCCTGGTATCTCCCTGAGATTGCATTAATCCTGCCTGCCTCGCCTATACAGTCCTTGGATAGAACACAAACATTTGCATTTTCAGTACAACGGGGAGGTACTAAACTTGATTCAGTAAGGTGGTTCTTCGAGTAGATGCAGCCATCTCTTACAGCTAGGTGTGTACGTGCCCAGCCCACTGGAGCCAGAGATTCAGTCCCTGTTTGAGTGATACAGCTGAAACTCCTCACCCCCACGATCCAGTCATCTACCGCGGGATCCACTGACGCGCACTTGAAGAAGGAAGAACAGTTACTTACCCTGCAGTAACTGCGGTTCTTGGAGATGTCGTTGTCAGCATGGATCCCTGATCCACCTCGCTTTTCAGAGCCCTCAGGAACATGGGCTTTGAATTGCGAGGGTACTGCGGGAGGCTCTCAGCGGTGTGTGCTTTGGGCCCTTGTATTGGAGCATGAGCAGGAGGGGGGAACAAGCGCAGGCCCAACAGACACTGCTATTCCAAACTTTTTAGTCTCGTGGATGGGGCGCGTGTGTACGTACAGTGGTATCCACAGCTCTGAAAGAGCCGCCATTACACGAGGTCTTTACCTGCGTTTCCTGCGAGTTTTGACCACTCCCCTCTTCTCTCCACTTAGGACAAAGTCCATTTCCTCGATGTCCGAGTTTGAAAGCTTGCTCGACTGTTCTCCCTACCTTCCAGGCAAGACCAGCCCTGTGATCCCTGACCACGCACGAGGCAAGGGGTCCCCAGCCACACAGCTGCTGCCTAATGGCATAACAGACCCTGCCGGAGTCCACCCCAAAAACTGTACATATGTGACTACAGAGCAACCTGCCTCTGAGAGCCTGGCAAAAGACAAACTGGGCATTTCCTCATGGGACTATTCCCGGGCAAACAACCTCTCTGGGCAGGATCCGGCCCAGAAGCAAATGCAGAGGAGCTACACGGCACCAGACAAGACCGGGATCCGCATCTATTACAGCCCTCCGGTGGTGCGAAGACTGGAGGCACCGCTAATCCACAACAAGGAGGGGAAGATCATGACTGAGCCGGGCTTCCTGTTCACAATGGCCAAGCCGACAGAGCTGGAGGAATCCGACAGCTCAGAGAACACGTACAGCCGGTGGCTGTGCAACTTCTCGAAGCAGCATCGCGAGCTGCTGGACAGCCGCAGTGCCGACAAGGCTGGGCCCTCTGGCCCCCGGTTCCCATCCTCCCTGCACGATTTTGAGATTTCCGGCAACATGAGCGACGACATGAAAGAGATCACCAACTGCGTGCGGCAGGCCATCCGCTCCAGCTCGCTGGAGAGGAAGGTGAAGAGCGCCTCCAGTCAGACCACGGGGCTGACGAGCGTCGGGACCCAGACCATTCAGATGGTGAGCGTCGGTCTGCAGACAGACGTGCCCCGGGGAAACCTCCACAGCAAGAGCTGGTCCCCACGCAGCTCCTCCCTGATGTCTGTGCGTAGCAAACAGATTTCTTCGTCTCTGGACAAAGTCCACTCCAGAATCGAACGGCCTTGTTGTTCTCCCAAGTATGGCTCCCCAAAGCTCCAGAGACGGTCTTCCTCCAAGCTTGACAATTCGAAGGACAGAAGCTTGTGGAACCTTCATCAGAGTAAGCAAAATGGGTCGGCCTGGGCTAGGTCAACCACAACCAGAGACAGCCCGGTCCTCAGTAACATCAATGATGGCCTGTCCAGCTTGTTCAATGTTGTGGAGCATTCCGGGAGTACAGAGTCCATCTGGAAACCAGGCTGTCCAGAGAGCAAAGCTAAGCCAGAAGCCCCGAAATACGGCATCGTGCAAGAGTTCTTCAGGAACGTGTGCGGGAGGGCCCAGAGCCCCACTTCTGCCCCAGAGAAGAAAGAATCACCGGGAGATGATGGCACCAAAAAGCAGGATTACTCCCAGCCGGTCACCTGCCATCCATCAGAAAACGTCTCCCGGAGCTTAAACAAGAAACTCCTGAAGCAAAGCAGCAACGAGGAGCCCAAGGTGTCTTCCCCAAGCCAGGGGAGCAAAGACGGGGCCCCAAGGGACCTGGACATCACATCTATGATAGCCAATGAGGTAAGAACATAAGAACGGCCAGACTGGGTCAGACCAATGGTCTATCTAGCCCAGTATCCTGTCTCTGCCAGTTGGCCAGTGCCAGATGCTTCCGAGGGAATGAACAGAACAGGGCAGTTTATTAAGTGATCCATCCCCTGTCATTCAGGCCCAGCTTCTGGCAGTCAGAGGTTTAGGGACATCTAGAGCATGGAGTTGCATTCTTGCCCATCCTGGCTAATAGCCATTGGTGGATGTAGCTTCCATGAACTTGTCTCATTCTTTTTTGAGACCAGTTACACTTTTGGCCTTCCCAACATCCCCTGGCAGCTTTGTTTTTACCCTAGCGAATAAGACCGACTTCAGGGCAGAGCTGGCTGACAAAGCAAACGTCTGTTTAGCTTCTGCGCCCACCAGAGGAGGTAGCTTCCTCCCCAGCCTGAAGTGTAGTGCAGCCCCTCTCCACCCCAGGGGCCGGAGGGGTGAGAGGAGAAGACCTGTTCCTGCAGCAGTTGGTGGGTTGGCTGTAGCACTGTCTGCATCTGACAGCCAGACACACTCAGGCAGTAGCAGCCGAGGCTTGTGCTGCAGCCTGGAGGGGCCACGCTGGCTCAGCCCTTGGCTTCTCCCGTGCGGAGACTGCTCCCCACAGGGGGGCTGGGTACATGCTCTCACTCATGGGGCTGGGTCAAGACACTCACGGCCCAGGGGACCTCAGCCTGCACTCGCGTCAGGCTTCACGCACTAAAGAGCTGGCTCTTGGGGCAGGCGCTCTGCCTCTGGGCTCACCCAGTGCTAGCCCTAGGGGGCTCTGGTCCCAGCTGGGTGTTGCTGCAGTCCCCTCTGCCAGCACTGCACCTAGCCCGATGAGATCTGCCCTTGAGTGGGTACCAGGCTAGTCCCAGCTGCAGCTCCCCTGCGCCCTCCACACCTCTGATCCCCCCTCCCCTTTCTCTTTGCAGGACACAGCATGCGACTGCAGCTCCCAGTCCCTCACCTCCTGCTTCGCCCGGCCTTCCCGCTCAGCTGTCCGGCACTCCCCTTCCAAGTGCAAGCTGCATCCCTCTGACCCCAGCCGGGCGGAGGAGAAGGCAGGGCCTCTGAGTGAGTGAGTGAGGGCAGCGGGGACTGGGCTAAGCCGTGTCTGCTTTCTGCGGCCCTGACGAAAGAGCACGCTTCCCGTCTGCGCCAGCTGTGCCGCAGCCTGCGGGACCCGCCAGCCCCGGAGAGCTGTGCTGGGGTCCCAGCGGGGCCCTCGCTCTCGCAGAGACACAGATGCTTGCACATCTGTCTCCTAACCGTTCCCCAGCTGCTGGGGGCGCTTAAGAAGCAGATGCTGCAGGATAGTCGGGAACGGAGGCTTCCCGCGTTATGCCTGGATCCGGTTCCAGGGGTGGAGGGGAAGTTACTCTGGGCGGGTGTCTCCTGACCCCCAGGAAGTAGCCTGCCAGCCTCACCGCTCCTGCAAGGGAAGGATGATTCCAGGAGAGAGGAGCCTGGGGTGGGGAGCTCTGGGCCATTTCCATAGCCCTTCAGGCTCCTCAGAGACCTGCACTTCAGGGAGACGGACAGCCGGCGGGGGGTGGGGGGGGAATGAAGAGATGGGCCCTGCCTGCCCTGGGATGTGGGAACTGGAAACCACAACCCTGCAGCAGCCTCTGGAGAGCTGGCAAAGCCAAGGCCCTGAGCCTGGGACTCCCTCGGGCCATGCTGCTGACAAGCGCCCTGGAGAGGATCGGCAGCAGGAGCGCGGAGAGCAGCTGGGTCAGCTCTGGGAGGAAATGCCCCGGGCATGCTGTCACTGCACTTCGCAGACAGGGCTGTGGGCCGGGGGTGAGCCCTGGGGGGCATGCGCCCTGGGGGGGTGGGGGCGTGTTGTATAAAGCTGATTATTGTGTGTGAGGCTCTTCACTATGTTGTCTCCTTTGCCATGTTGTCTTCGAGTGGCACTGGTACGCCCCTTCGCTGACACGGCCGTCCCTCCCCCGCGCCCTGGGGCTTTGTGCAAACCCAGCTCAGAGTGGATTGCCCTGCTGTTGCATCAGCCACTGCAGTGCCTGCCTCCTGTGCTGGAAGGATGCCAAGGGGAGGATCACGGGGGCAGGCACGGGGCTCGTTCAGGCCCTTCTCCTCACCCAAACAATGTTTAATTCCCCACCCCAGCCCCAGCCTGGCCAGTGCCGGAGGCTGCAGCAAGCTGCCCTCTCTGGAGTGCTCCCCGAGCTAGAGCGCTGGTCGAGTAGCTGCAGCAGCTCCCTTTGTCTCTGGCTCGCCTAGCGGGATCCTGGAGTCAGAAGCTGTACAGCCGCCTGGCCTCAGGAAGCACAGCCCAAGGCAGATGGGAACAGGAGCAAACGCAATGCGGTGGGACTATAGACTGCAGTAGAAAGGGGACCTAGCAGCCTCACAGAGCATAGGGCAGGGGGAGGTACAGCGGTGTTCTCCCTTTTCCAGGGGGCTGTGCCGGAGGAGTGTGTGTGTGTGAGAGAGAGAGAGAGAGAGTGTTTGTGTGTTCTCCCTTCCCCTCCCCTCTGGAGCAATGGGCCCCGGGGACAAGATAAGCCAGGCACACCTTGGGGGCCCTTCCCCTGCCCCTCGCAGCTGGGTCTGAGCGAGGTTCTAGTTACAGTGAGTCTGACAGTGGCTCAAGCCAAGGTGGCAGCATTTCCCTAGGTTGTGTCCCACCCAGCGTCTGGCAGGTGTGGTTGGACGCTGAGGGTCGTCTGGATCTCCTGGGTCTCACTATTTAAGGTATTTGTGCATGGTTTATGATGCAATTCGCAGAGGTCTCCGCAGGGTCATTTGTTTGTGTGTTTGGCCTGGTAGCCTGGAGCTTGCTGTGGTTGTGTCTGAGTGTGGCAGGTGTGGGAGATCCAGTGGGGCAGCCTCGGTTGGAGGGGGGGTGTGTGTGTGTCTGTCCCGGAGGAGGCAGAGGGCAGCGGGGCCACGGCTGGAATTCAGTCTGATGTTCCCCGACCATTACTGGGAGCTTGGCTCTGACTCAGTGGCCAAACAGCTCTAGGACCCCTGCTTCTGCCCCGCAACTCACGCTGGCCCCTCAAGGATCCCTGCGCTCACTTCTTCCTGGCCCTTTCTGCTCCCTTCCTCTGTGAAGGTGCTGCGTTCCGGTTCGTGTCCTCTGTAGGGATGGGGTTTTCTCTGCACACGCACTGCTGCCTCCAAGCCCAAGCATTTGTGCCTTAGCACTGGTTAGACACCACAGTAACAAGAGTGGTACAAGTACATGGGCCAGGTTTATCCCTGGTGTAGAGAATCAGGGCTGCCTTTGTCCCAGTAAAAAGAAAAGGAGGACTTGTGGCACCTTAGAGACTAACACATTTATTTGAGCATGAGCTTTCGTGAGCTACAGCTCACTTCATCGGATGCATACTGTGGAAAATACAGTGGGGAGATTTATATACATAGAAAGAAAAGGAATATACATAGAGAACATGAAACAATGGGTGTTACCATACACACTGTAAGGAGAGTGATCACTTAAGGTGAGATATTACCAGCAGGAGGGGGGGGAACCTTTTGTAGTGATAATCAAGGTGGGCCATTTCCAGCAGTTGACAAGAACGTCTGAGGAACAGTGGGGAGTGGAGGGGGGAAATAAACATGGGGAAATAGTTTTACTTTGTGTAATGACCCATCCACTCCCAGTTTCTGTTCAAGCCTAAGTTAATTGTATCCAGTTTGCAAATTAATTCCAATTCTGCAGTCTCTCATTGGAGTCTGTTTTTGAAGTTTTTTGTTGTCTATGACGTCAAGAATTATAACATTCAAAAACCAGTTGGAGTACGCTTCAATCTCTTTGGTCACTCGATTACAGACCTGAAAGTTGCAATTCTTCAACAAAAAAACTTTAAAAACAGACTCCTTCAGACGCAGTGTTTATTGTACCCTTCTGTCTCTTCTTGCAGCCGTCCCCCTGCGCTCTGCTGCCAGGCACCTGTCAGGGGTGAGGGTGATTAACTGCTGGAGCAGTCACCAAGGGTGGGGTGCGGATTAGCCATCTCTGGCCGTTTGTAAACCAAGGGGATTTTTTTTTCAAGATCTCTAGTTCTAACAGGAATGAATGCAGGGAAGAGCTCTGGCCTGTGGTAGGCAGGAGGCCAGACTAGATGGTCACAACAGTCCCCTCAGGCCTTAGAATCAATTAAACATCCCAGCACCTCTGGAGAAACGCTTCAAGCCGTTTGCTCTGTCTGTGCAGGAGGCTGCAGCACTGCCATTGAGTGAGCGAGGCAAAGCGATTGAAGGTCTGTAACCCACCTTCTCATGCTGCATTTAATACTGCAGTTAAATCCATTTCCAGGCCTCTAAGCCCTGGTCTACACGACAGTCAGCTTACAGCGACCTAACTCTGTAAGCAGCTACACTAGAATGTAGCTGCCACCAGTGTAACGCGCCCGCTCTGCTGACTATGACTCCGTCTCCGTGAGAGGGAGAGCACTTAGGTCGATGTAGTTAGGCCAGCGTAGACCCTTTTGCTGCCTTTCAGAAGCCTTCCCACAATGCCCTACGCTGACAGTTAAATGGATGCAAGCACTGCTGGTGAGGACCCGCACTGGCGACACAAGGAGCGCAGTGTGGACATGCAAAGGCAGTTTAATTACTGCAGTGGCTGTACGTCGCCGCAGCTTCGACTGTCCGCGCTGCACTGATGGAGCTGTGCCGCTGTAGCACTTCTGGTGAAGACGCTCTGAGCTGACAGGAGCGAGCTCTCCCGTTGGCTTAATAACGCCTGCCTCCGCGAGCCGCGGTAGCTGTGTCGGTGGGAGTAGCTCTCCTGCCAACACAGCGCTGTCCACACCAGCGCCTAGGTCAGTGTAACTTACATCACTCGGGTGTGGATTATTCACACTGCCGAGCGACATTTATACCAAAGTAATCTGTAGTGTAGACAGCCTACGGTCAACTTAATTTTGTAGTGTAGCCTTGCCCTATCTTGTGTCTCTTTTGTTGCTGCAGAGTGTCCAGGGTGCATTCGGGCAGGGAATGCTCAATGAGCCAGGGAGGGCTGTCCCTCGGGGGCTCTGGGACAGGTGACCTGCCACAGCAACGCTCCGGGTCAGCTTGATCCAGGTGCTTGGAAACCACGTCCCAAATTCAGGGGGTGGGTGAGGGTGTTTACAGCCGGCATAAACTGCCTGGCCCCTTCTTCCCAGGGCTGTTAATTATGCTCCAGCAAGCCCCACGCTATGCTCCGCTCAGCTCTCCTAGCAGTTAGGCTGAGTTTGAATCCCCCCCGGGGGCTCCTCTGATATTCGGACTGGGCTGTACAGCCCACCTCAGAGCAAGCCAGCAGCGTGGAGCGGGCTGGCCCTGACCCCCAACGCAGCCCTGGCACGGTGGGGGGAGGGAGTTTAGTTAATGGCTGAGAGAGCATGCCCTTCTCCTGCCTTTCAGCACTTGCTGGTTGTGACTGGCAATGGCAACCTCTGCGGGAGAGGGGAACCCTTTTCCTGGCTGCATTTCCAGCCCTCCCCAAGGCCAGCTGTGCTGGAAGTGGTGTGAGAAAAGCTGACCTCATCAGACATGGAGTCCAGCTGCTCCTCTCTGTGCTGGTCCCCGGGCCTTGGCAGGGTCCCCCCCCCACCCCTCGCTGTCCTTCAGCATCAGCCTCCACTGCAGCCCTGTGCTCACTGTAAACTCCCTTTTTGGCCCATTTTATCATCCCAGCTCCTGGTACATTTTGATTGACTTTCCTCCCCAGGGTCTCTGAGAATATTGCAAAGGGAGAGAGAGTGTGTGTGTGTGTGTGTGCGCAGAGTTGTAATTCAGCCTGCAACTGGGAAATCATTTCTTCAACCCACTGCCCTGCCCACTACTTGTACCAGGGAGCCGTGTGTGACCGCATTTTGCTTCAATGTTTAAAAACACAACACAGGCCCCAGAGATACCCCTAGCCCCGTTGTATCCCTGAGCAGATGTGTGGTGTCTGGGGAGCCCTGGCCCTGTCGCTAACAGCACCTGCTGAATCCATTACTCCGTTTCACAGTCTCAGCTGGGACACCCCCAGCTCCTGGGGGGGGCTGTTTTAGTTAATTGCTCATTACAAATGTCTTGCAAACGTCCCTTCCTTTTGGTTTGACCTGATCTGATGGGCTGCAGGCCCAGGCGGAGCACAAGGCAGGGTCAGTTTAAATCAGCATGAACTTTTGAGCTGAAGGAATTTTTAAAAATAATGAAATTAGCTAAATTGGGAGGGTAGTAGATGAGTTAAAAGTACCAATTGGACTATAGGCTTGCCCTGCCCAGGACCAGAACTGCTGTTTGGCTGGGAATGGAGTCTCATTTGGGGGAGGGGAGGAAGTGCAAACAAGCCACTGGTTAATAAAGAGCCAGTGTTTATCAGCTTGGAGCCCTGGAAGGCATCAGCACTTTCTGGTAAAGCCCTGACGCTCAATGCCAGCAGATTTCTGCAGTTAAAAATAAATGCTCGCTGCATTAGGTGCTAACGAAGTCCCATTGCCAGCCTGCTGCTCTTTGCACTGCTCTGGGAGAGAGTAAAGACATCTGCCCCCGGAGGGGATTAGGAGAGTTAGTGTGGAGAACGCCTGGGCTTGCAGAACAACGGGGGTAGGTGTGTGAGATGCCAGCCAAGCCCATGGGGAGGGTTCCAGCCAGACAACACATCCACAGCCATGCAGCCAGGGCTGAATCCACCCGAGGGATGAGGAGAAACTCGTGTATTTATCCCGTGAATAGAGGGGACTTGCAAACGAAGCGGTGAGGCTGTGCTCTGCGCTCAGGCAGGGTATATGCTAGGACCACAGCCAAGTCTTGTTCTCTGTCAGCAGCCGAGGGCTACGCTCTGTGCACCTCTGTTACGTGAGGGGAGGGCAGTGGCCCAGCTGGTTCTGCACAAGTCGCCTTACTCTGCCTGATGACTATGGGTGGGTCTTAGGTTGTGTCCTTCCACTGGCAGAGCCAGAGAAGGTCTGGGCATGTTCTCACCTGAGAGGAGCAGACAGCGTATTGTCCAACCTACCAGCAGACAAGGAGCTGTGGGAGCCTGGGGGTTAGTGCAGCTCTTGATAGTTTTTGCATGCGTTTGGCAGGCGTGGGGGTCTGTCCCGGGCGGGGGCTGGGGGAGTGTTGTTAATGTGGTCGTTAACACCCACTGTAAATACTTTGGGGTGGGTTTCGCATTTTCATTGGTAACTAGGGTTTTTTTTAAAGAATCTAGTTTTTGGAATGTGGTTTCTCATTTTTACAAATGCCTTTTTAATTATTTGTGATACTCGTCATGTCTGTCCTGTCCTGTAAATAGCAGCACTGGGCATTTCTGCCATGAGTGGAGGTGATAAGCCATGTGTGGCCCTGTGGCTGGGAGGGACTGCACTGGGCATGTGCCCGGGGCCTTGTCTTGGCCACCTGATGGCCCACCCCAACAAGTGTGCAAAGAAGCCGGGCTTTGCTTCCGCAAAGTCAGTTGAAGGACACGGGGAGGTAGCAGAGAGAGCAACCCTGAGCCATGGTGTGTGTAATACGCAGCCTTTTAACTTGACACTGTCATCTCCCTGCTTGGAATTTGAAAGAGCAGAATCTCCGCATGAGCTGAGCCTCGATTGGCTGCAGCCCGGGGTGCCGGCCATTCTGAAAATAGCATACTTGAAATTAAAGATGAGCCAGTTTGGCTGCTTAAACTCCCACCCGCTCGTATGGTGCAGTCAGCCATGTCCTGTTTCCCAGCATGTCCTGTGGGGAAGGGTGTGTGTACAGGGAAGCGCTGATTTCATGTCATTTCCATGCATCTCACTGGGTTAGGGTTTCTCCCTGCAGGGGGTGGGAGAGAAGAGCTGCCCTTTGGGGGACTGTTCCCCCTGCAGCCCTGCCACACGCTGGGTAAGCTATTCCCGAGCAGAGCTCTCTGTCCATGTCACCTGCACCATCACAGCCTTTCCCTGCTCTTCCTTGCTGCAGCGTTGGGCTTTGAAAAGCCTGCTGAGCTCTTCCCAAAGGCCCTGTCCTGCTGCAAAGCTCACAGATAGGGCAGGGCGGGAGGCTGTTACTGACTGTTTTCTCAGCCCCTGTTGCTGTTTCCCTAGCAGCCTCAGGTGTCCGGGTCTGGGTTCCATGTGCTCGCCCCTTCCTTTTGCATGGCCCCACACTCACATGAAGAGCAGTTTCACTGCCACTGATGACGGGGCTTCCCCACTCACTCTGTCCTCTGTCTGTACAATTGTGTGTTGTGAGGTAGAAAATAAAGGGCCTGCGAGCTCTGAAATGAAACCCCCAGAGCTACCTTCTGTGTGTAGGGTGCCTGGCTGACCCCTGGGTTGGGGGCACAGCCCCCAGAGTAGCTCCCTGACACCCTCTCGATCCAAGGGAAAGGCAGAATCCTGCTCTTGGCTCCATCCTGCCCTGAGCAGCTCCTGGGGGCTAGGTCAGGGGGGCTTCCGTTACTGAGCTGACAGACTCTTCCCAGGAGACCGAGAGAGGAGCTGGGGGAGGGTCTTTGGCCTCCAGCTGGTGCACTCTGCCTTCAGGAACCTCTCGAGCCCTTTAGGTCAGTGCTACTCAAAGTGGTGGTCCGCAGACCGGTGCCGGTCTGCGCACACATTGGGGTGCTCCACAGCGGATCGCTTGAGAAGCACTGCTCTGGGTGACCTTGAAGCCCTGCTTCAGCTGTTGGAAGTTGGGCGTCACCGGCCAGCAGAAGAGAGCGGGTTGGGGTACAGCCCCCTGCTGGTTGATTTGGGAGCAGCAACAGCTGCCTGGCCAGGCCTCGGGAGGAGCGCGCCTTCTCCCCAGGACCAGGCTCCAGGGGTGGAGCAGGAGGCCCCGCTTCACGCTGGGCGGGGGAGCTGAGGGGCACCTGGGCTCCCATTCCTCCACAGCTGATCCCAGAAAGAACTGGACCAAGGGAGCCAGGCCCGGTGCTAAAATCTATTCAGCCTTTTCCTTCTGTGCGAGCACCAGGCTGGCCTCTGCCGCTGCGTGGCCCCGCAGCGGGGCTGGACTCGGTGCAGCCCCTCTGCTGTGCATGGCACCTGCGCCAAGCTGCCCTGCTGGTCCTGAAGCAGGAGCAGACGGCCTGCCCAGGGTCCTGCAGGGGCTGGCACAGCAGGTGCTGACTTATGGGGCACAAGGATAAAGCCTCAGCTCCCCTTGTCCCTGAACTGGAGCAGCCATAGGGTGGCCAGTTTGGGGACGTATTCCTGGAGGTTTCATCACATGCCACAGTTTTAAAAGATTAATCTTTGATTCCGCAAGACTATGGGACAATCCTGGAGGGTTGGAAACCTTCAGCAGCCATGACTGCAAATCCTCAGGGCTGTGGGCTGCAAACTGCCACTGGCCACAGGAGCAGCTGCTCATGCCGCTCTGTGCCGTGGGGCAAGGCCTCCCTCTGCTAGGGAAGCCACGCTGATCCTCCACTCCTGTTAGTCTCCCCTGCTGCGGGGCTGCCCAGCTGCTGCCCTGGAAATCGAGCTGCTTGCAGCTGAGATCACGGAGCCAGCCCCTCACCAGCATGGCTGCCGCATGGATTGCTGAACAGCCAGAAGCTGCACACCATCGCTGGGCGGCGTGCAGGGCTCTCTGACAGCTCTGCGTCCAACACCTGCCCTAACAGCCTCCACAGCTCTGGCTCTCACTACCCCTGCCCCTCCATCTGCCCCCAGTAACCCTGCCCAGCTGGGGTGGTCGGCCTCAGGCCTGCAGCGCTCCTGGCCTGGCCGCACCCCACACAAGAGCTAGGTGTGAGAGGCTCGGGAAGGCCCTGGTGCCCAGCTGTCCCCTCCCATCTGCTTCCAGCAGCCGCTTCCCGCAACATGTGCCTGAGCCAGCCTCAGCCTGGGTTACAGATGCTGAGCCAGCCCCAGTCCAGGGATTCGCCCGGCTACACACACGGCGTCAAACAGGCACACAATTACGCTCGCACGGTTGCTGAGTGCTCCTGGCTGGAGCAGCCCTTCAGCCCTGGCCTGCATCCTCTCCAGCTGCTGCTCCTTGGCCAGTCCCACGTCATGGAGCATCCCTACATAGGGGAGGAGTGGGCAAACATGGGCCGCCTAGCCAACGTTTTAATACGGCCCTCGAGATTCCGTGGGGTCGGGGGCTTGCCCCGCTCCACACATGCTGTGGCTTCCTGCAGCTCCCGGAAGCAGCGGCACGTCCCCTCTCCAGCTCCTATGTGTAGGGGCAGCCCCTGTACACAACGCTGCCCCTGTCGGCAGGCACTGCCCCCACAGTTCCCATTGGCTGGGAACCACGGCCAGTGGGAGCTGCAGGGGTGGCATCTGCAGACGGGGCAGCATGCAGAGTCGCCTGGCCACGCCACTGCATAGGAGCTGGAAGGGGGACATGCTGCTACTCCTGGAGCCACTTGAGGTAAGCGCTGCCCAGAGCCTGCACCCCTGACCTCCTCCCACGCCCCAACCCCCTCCCCAGCCCTGATCCCGCTCCTGCCCTCTGAACCCCTCAGCCCCAGCCCTGATCCCCCTCCTGCACCCTGCTGGAGTCCTCACACAGACATACACATCCCTGCCCCAGCCCGGAGCCCCCTACCACAGCTTGAACTCATTTCTGGCCCCACTCCAGAGCCTGTACCCCCAGCCAGAGCCCTCACCCTGTCCTGCACTCCATCCCCTATTTTGTGAGCATTCATGGCCCGCCATACAATTTCCATACCCAGATGTGGCCTCAGGCCAAAAAGTTTGCCAGCTCCTGATCTAGGGTCTGGGCTGCAGGGATCACTTCCCCCAAGCAAAGTCTCAGGTAGAGTGTTCCCATGGCCACAGGGTGGGGGGCAGGCAGTATGCACCCACCAGGGCTACTGTTGTAGCAAGGCAGGTGTTTGTGCTTGGCACCCTTCCCACCCCCACCCCCAGAACAGCTCATCCCCGGGGGTGGGAGGGATGTTACAGGGGTGACACAGAGGGGCCTAGCCGTGAGGGCACAACAGCAACCCATGTACATACAGGTACCCCCATCACAGAGCCCAGTGCAAATGTGGGCCCCGCCCAACCTGCACACTCCCCACATGTGCATACTGCCCCACACGCTCGCCAGAGACCCCACAGCACCTGGGCCTCAATTGGGTTTTGTTACTGGCTAGCTCCCACTGAACTCCATTGAAATCCACAAATGCTGGGAGCCTAAATACCTGCCAGGGTTTGGCCCAGTGCTACCAGAATGCACCTGAACCTGCCAAGTGCCGGGAAGGCACCACACACCCAGCCCTGCACAGCCAGTGGGCTCTGTGCCTACTGGACCACTCAGCTCAGCCTCGTCCAGGGTCCACGGGGAAACCAGACCTGGCAGTGCGGAGATTTACCACCATGCCCGCTGTGAGCCTGGGACACAGCCCACCACGCTGCTTCCTCAGCCCTTCCTCTGGTCCCCCAGTGACTTCCCCACCTCCCCCATTGCTCCCCAGACCGCACCCTCAGCCTTCCAAGCTCCCCCATTGCTTCCTGGCCTTCCCCTCGGGCTTCCCCCACCCTTCAATTCACCCTCCACCCCTCATATAGCTTCTTCTTCCCAGTGCTCCCACTCCAGCTCAGCCATGTGCCTCTTTCTATGGGACTCCCCCAGGCCACCATGTGCCCCCCAATGCTTCCTCAGACCACTCATTCCTTTCCATTGCCCCCAGCTTCCACCACTGGGCCCCCGTCTTTCCCCATCTACCTCCATTCCTGCCCCAGACCGTCCCAAGACCTTCTGACGCCCCTGCTGATCCCCGTCATACCTGTTCACCTCTGTCCACCTGACTGCAGCCTCCATCGCTCCCCTGGGTGCCCCCTGATGATTCCCTCTTCTTCCATTACCCCCGCTTGTTCTTCCCCATCTCTCACCATCTCACCGTACGGCCCCCTCTTGCTACCCCACTTCCCACCATCACTCCCTGCAGCCCCCTCCTGCTACCTCATCTCCCACCATCGCTCCCTACAGCCCCCTCCTGCTACCCCATCTCCCACCATCGCTCCCTACAGCCCCCTCCTGCTACCCCATCTCCCACCATCGCTCCCTGCAACCCCCTCCTGCTACCCCATCTCCCACCATCGCTCCCTACAGCCCCCTCCTGCTACCCCATCTCCCACCATCGCTCCCTACAGCCCCCTCCTGCTACCCCATCTCCCATCATCGCTCCCTACAGCCCCCGCCTGCTACCCCATCTCCCATCATCGCTCCCTACAGCCCCTGCCTGCAACCCCATCTCCCACCATCGCTCCCTACAGCCCCTGCCTGCAACCCCATCTCCCACCATCGCTCCCTACAGCCCCCTCCTGCTACCCCATCTCCCATCATCGCTCCCTACAGCCCCCTCCTGCTACCCCATCTCCCACCATCGCTCCCTACAGCCCCCTCCTGCTACCCCATCTCCCATCATCGCTCCCTACAGCCCCCTCCTGCTACCCCATCTCCCACCATCGCTCCCTACAGCCCCCTCCTGCTACCCCATCTCCTATCATCGCTCCCTACAGCCCCTGCCTGCAACCCCATCTCCCACCATCGCTCCCTATAGCCCCCTCCTGCTACCCCATCACCCATCATACCCACAGCCCCCGCCTGCTACCTCATCTACCACCATCACTCTCTGCACCCCCTCCTGCTACTCCACCTCCCACCATCACACCCACAGCCCCCTCCTGCTACCCCATCTCCCACCGTCTCACCCTACTGCCCCCTACTGCTACCCCATCTCCCACTATCACTCCCTACAGCCCCCTCCTGCTACCCCATCTCCCACCATCGCTCCCTACAGCCCCCTCCTGCTACCCCATCTCCCACCATCGCTCCCTACAGCCCCCTCCTGCTACCCCATCTCCCACCATTGCTCCCTACAGCCCCCTTCTGCTACCCCATCTCCCACCATCGCTCCCTACAGCCCCCTTCTGCTACCCCATCTCCCACCATCTCACCCTACAGCCCCCTCCTGCTACCTCATATCCCACCATCGCTCCCTACAGCCCCCTCCTGCTACCCCGTCTCCCACCATCGCTCCCTACAGCCCCCTCCTGCTACCCCATCTCCCACCATCGCTCCCTACAGCCCCCGCCTGCTACCCCATCTCCCACCATCACTCGCTACTGCCCCCTCCTCCTACCCCATCTCCCACCATCTCACCCTACAGCCCCCTCCTGCTACCCCATCTCTCACCATCACTCCCTACAGCCATCTCCTGCTACCCCATCTCCCACCATCGCTCTCTACTGCCCCCTCCTGCTACCCCATCTCCCACCATCGCTCCCTACAGCCCCCTCCTGCTACCCCATCTCCCACCATCTCACCCTACAGCCCCCGCCTGCTACTCCATCTCCCACCATCACTCGCTACTGCCCCCTCCTGCTACCCCATCTCCCACCATCACTCCCTACAGCCCCCTCCTGCTACCCCATCTCCCACCATCACTCTCTACTGCCCCCTCCTGCTACCCCATCTCCCACCATCACTCTCTACTGCCCCCTCCTGCTACCCCATCTCCCACCATCACTCTCTACAGCACCCTCCTGCTATCTCATCTCCCACCATCACACCCAACAGCCCCCTTCTGCTACCCCACTTCACACCATCATACCCTATGGCCCCCCTCCTGCTACCCCATCTCCCACCATCACTCCTTACAGCCCCTTCCTGCTACCCCATCTCCCATGACTCCCTACAGACCCCCCCCGCTACCCCATCTCCCACCATCACTCCCTACGGCCCCCTCCTGCTACTCCACCTCCTACCATCAGTCCCTACTTCCTCCCTTCTGCTACCCCATCTCCCACTATTATAACCTACAATCCCCTCCTGCTCTCCCATTTCCCACCATCACACCCTATGGCCCCCCTCCTGCTACCCCATCTCCTACCATCACTCCCTACAGCCCCCTCCTGCTACCCCATCTCTCACCATCACTCTCTGCACCCCCTCCTGCTACTCCACCTCCCACCATCACACCCACAGCCCCCTCCTGCTACCCCATCTCCCACCATCTCACCCTACTGCCCCCTTCTGCTACCCCATCTCCCACCATCACTCCCTACAGCCCCCTCCTGCTACCCCATCTCCCACCATCGCTCCCTACAGCCCCCTCCTGCTACCCCATCTCCCACCATCGCTCCCTACAGCCCCTTCCTGCTACCCCATCTCCCACCATCGCTCCCTACAGCCCCCTCCTGCTACCCCATCTCCCACCATCACTCGCTACTGCCCCCTCCTGCTACCCCATCTCCCACCATCTCACCCTACAGCCCCCTCCTGCTACCCCATCTCTCACCATCACTCCATACAGCCATCTCCTGCTACCCCATCTCCCACCATCACTCTCTACTGCCCCCTCCTGCTACCCCATCTCTCACCATCACTCTCTGCACCCCCTCCTGCTACTCCACCTCCCACCATCACACCCACAGCCCCCGCTTGCTACCCCATCTCCCACCATCTCACCCTACAGCCCCTTCCTGCTACCCCATCTCCCACCATCTCACCCTACAGCCCCCTCCTGCTACCCCATCTCCCACCATCGCTCCCTACAGCCCCCTTCTGCTACCCCATCTCCCACCATCTCACCCTACAGCCCCCTCCTGCTACCTCATATCCCACCATCGCTCCCTACAGCCCCCTCCTGCTACCCCGTCTCCCACCATCGCTCCCTACAGCCCCCTCCTGCTACCCCATCTCCCACCATCGCTCCCTACAGCCCCCGCCTGCTACCCCATCTCCCACCATCACTCGCTACTGCCCCCTCCTTCTACCCCATCTCCCACCATCTCACCCTACAGCCCCCTCCTGCTACCCCATCTCTCACCATCACTCCCTACAGCCATCTCCTGCTACCCCATCTCCCACCATCGCTCTCTACTGCCCCCTCCTGCTACCCCATCTCCCACCATCGCTCCCTACAGCCCCCTCCTGCTACCCCATCTCCCACCATCTGACCCTACAGCCCCCGCTTGCTACCCGATCTCCCACCATCACTCGCTACTGCCCCCTCCTGCTACCCCATCTCCCACCATCTCACCCTACAGCCCCCGCTTGCTACCCCATCTCCCACTATCTCACCCTACAGCCCCTTCCTTCTACCCCATCTCCCACCATCACACCCTACAGCCCCCGCCTGCTACCTCATCTCCCACCATCGCTCCCTACAGCCCCCTCCTGCTACCCCATCTCCCACCATCACTCCCTACAGCCCCCGCCTGCTACTCCATCTCCCACCATCACTCCCTACAGCCCCCTCCTGCTACCCCATCTCCCACCATCACTCCCTACAGCCCCCTCCTGCTACCCCATCTCCCACCATCACTCTCTACTGCCCCCTCCTGCTACCCCATCTCCCACCATCACTCTCTACAGCACCCTCCTGCTATCTCATCTCCCACCATCACTCCTTACAGCCCCTTCCTGCTACCCCATCTCCCATGACTCCCTACAGCCCCCCCCGCTACCCCATCTCCCACCATCACTCCCTCGGCCCCCTCCTCTACTCCACCTCCTACCATCAGTCCCTACTTCCTCCCTTCTGCTACCCCATCTCCCACTATTATAACCTACAATCCCCTCCTGCTCTCCCATTTCCCACCATCACACCCTATGGCCCCCCTCCTGCTACCCCATCTCCTACCATCACTCCCTACAGCCCCCTCCTGCTACCCCATCTCTCACCATCACTCTCTGCACCCCCTCCTGCTACTCCACCTCCCACCATCACACCCACAGCCCCCTCCTGCTACCCCATCTCCCACCGTCTCACCCTACTGCCCCCTTCTCTACCCCATCTCCTACCATCACTCCCTACAGCCCCCTCCTGCTACCCCATCTCCCACCATCGCTCCCTACAGCCCCCTCCTGCTACCCCATCTCCCACCATCGCTCCCTACAGCCCCTTCCTGCTACCCCATCTCCCACCATCGCTCCCTACACCCCCTCCTGCTACCCCATCTCCCACCATCACACCCACTGCCCCCTCCTGCTACCCCATCTCCCACCATCTCACCCTACAGCCCCCTCCTGCTACCCCATCTCTCACCATCACTCCCTACAGCCCCCTCCTGCTACCCCATCTCCCACCATCGCTCTCTACTGCCCCCTCCTGCTACCCCATCTCTCACCATCACTCTCTGCACCCCCTCCTGCTACTCCACCTCCCACCATCACACCCACAGCCCCCTCCTGCTACCCCATCTCCCACCGTCTCACCCTACTGCCCCCTTCTGCTACCCCATCTCCCACCATCACTCCCTACAGCCCCCTCCTGCTACCCCATCTCCCACCATCGCTCCCTACAGCCCCCTCCTGCT